ATAAACTACCGTTCAAAAGTTTGGGGTCACTTAGAAATGTCCTTGTTATCTTCTTAATCTTTTATTTTTATTGGCCAGTCTGAGATGTGGCTTTTTCTTTGCAACTTTGCCTAGAAGGTCAGCATCCCGGAGTCGCCTCTTCACTGTTGACGTTGAGACTGGTGTTTGGCAGGTACTATTTAATGAAGCTGCCAGTTGAGGTCTGTTTCTCAAACTAGACACTAATGTATTTGTCCTCTTGCTCAGTTGTGCACCGGGGCCTCCCACTCCTCTTTCTATTCTGGTTAGAGACAGTTTGCGCTGTTTTGTGAAGAGTAGTAGTACACAGCGTTGTACGAGATCTTCAGTTTCTTAGCAATTTCTCACATGGAACAGCCTTCATTTCTCAGAACAAGAATAGACTGACGAGTTTCAGAATAAAGTTATTTATTTCTGGCCATTTTAAGCCTGTAATCGAACCCACAATTGCTGATGCTCCAGATACTCAACTAGACTCAAGAAGGCCAGTTTTATTGCTTCTTTAATCAGCACAACAGTTTTCAGCTGTGCTAACATAATTGCAAAAGGGTTTTCTAATGATCAATTAGCCTTTTAAAATGATAAACTTGGATTATCAAACACAACATGCCATTGGAACACAGGACTGATGGTTGCTGATAATGGGCCTCTGTACACCTATGTAGATATTCCATTAAAAATCAGCCGTTTCCTGCTACAATAGTACAACGGTAGTGTATATATATATACACAGTGGGGGAAAAAAGTATTTAGTCAGCCACCAATTGTGCATGTTCTCCCACTTACTTTCGCAAGCCACTGTATTAGTTATATTGGGCCAGGCAAGCCCTGATAACGTATTTGAAATAATTTCAAATAGTATTTGAAACCAGGTCTGTGTCACAACAACAATATCATATTCTCTCTCTCTCTCTCTCTCTCTCTCTCTCTCTCTATAAAGACAATGAAATGCTGACTCCAAATGGAATGAGGAAATTTGCTTCACTTCATTTACTGTAATCTCTTCAACCCTCCCCTCAGTCACCATGGCACTAGCAAACGTAATGTTTCCCCTCACCATTAGCTCTCACAAATGGTTTCAACCAAGTTATGATTGTAATTCTTTTAAGATATGTAGGTCTTTCTTACAGAACACATGTTTATACGACCAATAATGGAATTATGAGTTATTAATTATTATTATTACTACTGTGAATTAGTGTTCACAGTACTGGACACTCCAGTGCCCATGAGCACATCTATAGGCAAATATATTTTTATCTTTCACTCAAGATAACCTTTAGTCAGGGAACAGAAGGAATGGAAATAGAGGGAGTTTTTGGTTCGAACAAGTTCAAACAGGTGCCATTAATACAGGTAATGAGTGGAGGACAGAGGAGCCTCTTAAAGAAGAAGTTACAGGTCTGTGAGAGCCAGAAATCTTGCTTGTTTGTAGGTGACCAAATACTTATTTTCCACCATAATTTGCAAATAAATTCATTAAAAATCCTACAATGTGATTTTCTGGATTTTTTTTTCTCATTTTGTCTGTCATAGTTAACGTGTACCTATGATTAAATTTACAGGCCTCTCTCATCTTTTTAAGTGGGAGAACTTGCACAATTGGTGGCTGACTAAATACTTTTTTCCCCACTGTATATGTATGTCTATTGTGAACAAATGACTATTTGATCAATAACACATCACCTTGTCTTGAAAAAGTTATAACAGCTAAATTAGGCATGTTATGGATGCTTTCTTAAGTAGTCCAAAGTTTCAACATATTACCAGCTCATGATGTCTATCTTGACTACAGCAACAGCATTAGTGTTTTTCTTATAAAGCTGATTGTATCAGAACTTATGCAATAATAATAATAATGTAATAATAACACCATTGCCATGATGACATAGTTATAATAGTTTGTGCTAAATCAAACTGTTTGCCTAGTTAGTGAACAGGCCTACACTGTGTCCCCTTCCCATGTGACAGTCATTAATCAAATTGCCATGAACTAAAATTTGTCAGGACCTTAATATATTTTCTAATTACAACACAGGTTCTGTTTTCACAGCTTTCAGGATGATTAATTGTTTAGCTCTGGCCATGTTTCCCAAGTGGATCATTTAAAGGCATGGAGATTTATATCTGCAGAGGGCTACTGTGCATCCCAAATGGTACCCTATATAGTGTATGAATTACAACCACTTAAAGCCCATTCTTCAAATCAAGCCAGGTGCTACTAGCTCATCAAACACTTCTGAAGTTGATGTGGCGCTATCCAAGTTTCTTATCCCCCACTTTTTGTGAAAACTAAAAGATGTTTTAAAAGTTTTCATTTTGTCATACTGCATATCAAAATATGCCAATTCTAGTTGATACAACTCTGACCCCCAATTTTTATTTCTTTTATTTAACCTTTATTTAACCAGGTAAGCCAGTTGAGAACAAGTTCTCATTTACAACTGCGACCTGGCCAAGATAAAGCAAAGCAGTGCGATAAAAAACAACAGTTACATATGGGGTAAACAAAACAAAGTCAAAAATACAAACAGAAAATCTATATACAGTGTGTGCAAATGTAGCAAGTTATGGAGGTAAGGCAATAAATAGGCCATAGTGCAAAATAATTACAATTTAGTATTAACACTGGAATGATAGATGTGCAAGAGATGATGTGCAAATAGAGATACTGGGGTGCTAATAACAATATGGGGATGAGGTAGTTGGGTGGGCTAATTTCAGATGGGCTGTGTACAGGTGCAGTGATCAGTAAGGTGCTCTGACAACTGATGCTTAAAGTTAGCGAGGGAGATAAGTCTCCAGCTTCAGAGATTTTTGCAGTTCGTTCCAGTCATTGGCAGCAGAGAACTGGAAGGAATGGCAGCCAAAGGAGGTGTTGGTTTTGGGGATGACCAGTGAGATATACCTGCTGGAGCGCATACTACGGGTGGGTGTTGCTATGGTGACCAAGGAGCTAAGATAAGGCGGGGATTTGCCTAGCAGTGATTTATAGATGACCTGGAGCCAGTGGGTTTGGCGACGAATATGTAGTGAGAACCAGCCAACAAGAGCGTACAGGTCACAGTGGCGGGTAGTATATGGCACTGTGATAGACTACATCCAATTTGCTGAGTAGAGTGTTGGAGGCTATTTTGTAAATGACAACGCCGAAGTCAAGGATCAGTAGGATAGTCAGTTTAACGAGGGCATGTTTGGCAGCATGAGTGAAGGAGGCTTTGTTGGGAAATAGGAAGCTGATTCTAGATTAACGTTGGATTGGAGATGCTTAATGTGAGTCTGGAAGGATAGTTTACAGTCTAACCAGACACCTAGGTATTTGTAGTTGTCCACATACTCTAGATCAGACCCGCCGAGAGTAGCGATTCTAGTCGGGTGGGCGGGTGCCAGCAGCGTTTATTTATTATAAATTATTACTTTATTGTATGTATTATTACTTTATTCATAATATAGAATGCTTTCATAGTGAAATTAGTGAAATACATAATTTATTTATAAAATTATTTAATGCAATACTGAGAATTATTCTGAAAGGGTCTGCGTAATGTAAACCCTGAGCCGATTACTTTCAGTCACTTTATTAAATAACCAGTCAGTCAATATGCATGCACGACTACACACAAAAGTAATGACATTCTTTATAGTTTGTTTTGATTTTCAACAATAAGGACAAAACAACCGATATCATCCTTCAGTACATCGGCAGGCTTTAAATACAGACCTTTATAACATGGGTCGTGTTCATTTGGCACCAAACAGAAGAACAGACTAAAACAGGGAAGGATTTTACCAATAAAAAATAAAGAAAAAATCAGTTTCGAAACGTTTTTAAGAATGTTCTGTTGCGTGCCCTAATGAACACAACCATGATGTGGAACAATGGCAGCATGAGGTGAATCCTAACTGGTATAATGAGCGAATGAGACCTGATGATCATCACTGATGAAGTTATGAAGCTATGCACTTATGAAGTGTAAATAATATAGTTAAATCACATACAGTATTTGTCCATTGTTGTGAGGTTACGATAGTGTTCTTCAGAGCCATATGTAGAGACTATTACTCACATTATCAAAAGGCATCCGTTATTGTCAGTCAAAGTTGGCCAAATCCCCTCTATACAGAATATGGGTTTGGTGTTCTTGGTGGCTCCCATCTGTTAAGCACCGTATTGTGTCAGACATTAAGGCCATTATGTCGACACAAGATGAAGGGGAATCCCGTCTTCCCAAGGAGCATCAAGGTGTGTCTCTTGGCTTTTAGTTGGACCATTTCTTTACATTCTCGTAAGTCCCAGAGGAACAGTTATTCGTTTCTATACAGTCTCATAGGTCCCAGAGGACCGTTATTAGTTTCTATACAGTCTCATAGGTCCCAGAGGACCGTTATTAGTTTCTATACAGTCTCTCAGGTCCCAGAGGACCGTTATTAGTTTCTATACAGTCTCATAGGTCCCAGAGGACCGTTATTAGTTTATATACAGTCTCGTAGGTCCCAGAGGACCGTTATTAGTTTATATACAGTCTCGTAGGTCCCAGAGGACCGGTATTAGTTTCTATACAGTCTCGTAGGTCCCAGAGGACCGTTATTAGTTTCTATACAGTCTCATAGGTCCCAGAGGACCGTTATTAGTTTCTATATAGTCTTGTAGGTCCCAGAGGACCGTTATTAGTTTCTATACAGTCTTGTAGGTCCCAGAGGACCGTTATTAGTTTCTATACAGTCTCGTAGGTCCCAGAGGACCGTTATTAGTTTCTATACAGTCTTGTAGGTCCCAGAGGACCGTTATTAGTTTCTATACAGTCTCATAGGTCCCAGAGGACCGTTATTAGTTTCTATATAGTCTTGTAGGTCCCAGAGGACCGTTATTAGTTTCTATACAGTCTCGTAGGTCTCAGATGACCGTTATTAGTTTCTATACAGTCTTGTAGGTCCCAGAGGACCGTTATTAGTTTATATATAGACTTGTAGGTCCCAGAGGACCGTTATTAGTTTCTATACAGTCTTGTAGGTACCAAACAATCATATTGGCAGGAGTTCAGGTGGACTTTCTCCATAACAGTATTTTGCTTGTGGATTTCTGTAGGTATTTTCATGTTGGACACTCTACAGAAGCAAAAAGAGAGGGTAAACACAACCATTAGAATGCTTTCCATCAATTTCTCTCGCCATCTCTGCATGACAGGATGTGGGTAGGGTCAGGGAGTGATCAGAGACCTGGGCACAGATTCAAAAAAACCTTCTTAAGAATACATTTCTTCTTAACTGTAATTTTTTCGATAAAAGCTAGCTAAATCGGTTGCCTAGCAACAAACATCTTAAGAAGATTCGTAAGAAAATCATTAAATCTTAAGATATTGTTGAGGAAATGCACTTACGAACTATCTTATGAACTTATTTTCTTAAGAAGCTTATTACATTTTTGGCGTAAGAAGTGTTTTGTGAATCTGGGCCCTGTTATCCTTGTTTGTTTCATGTAGACAACTCAACCTACCTGCGATGAAGTCCGACACTTGGCTAAACACAACTCAAAGTGGTCCTCCACGGCTGTGAATAGGTTCTGGAAGCCATCTGCAGCTCGGTTCAGGAAACTCTCTAGAAGAGGTTGCTGAGAGAGAAGAGAGGAGAAAATATGAGAGAGAGCGAGAGAGAGGTAGAGGTGCAACGTTCAGATCAAAATCTGGTATTCCTAACATGGATTAGTCATAACACAACCACTGCAAAAGGTTCAGATGAAAACAATGGAAAGTTAAAGATGCCAAGCTAAGATCAAGATCTGACTCCATTGACTGAAAATATGTAAATGCAAAAGTTACAAATTCTCATTTGGAACAAACAATTTTGCTGTTGGATGCAGCACAACAAGAGTGCCACAGCTTGAATACCTTATCAGGCTGGAGGCAGCAGGACACACAGTGCTCGTAGATGTTGCAGCAGCCGTTGGCCAGACAGCTTTTACAGATGTACTGTCTTGAGCTGGGGGCGTTGACATTACAGCAACCATTCACCAGCAGATCGTTTCTCTCACACACATAACCTGTGGGGACATTGAAGTGGTCTTTCATAATACCTCAATGATAGGGGCTTTTCTCGCATCATCTTTCCTTAAAACGCATTGGAGAAGAAGGACTGGGGGGAGGGACCTTGTGCATTCTTCTCAAATACGTTTGAAAAGGAGGTGAGGAGATTGTGAGGAGGTCTTGAGGAATCACAGAAACACAGTTTGAGATAGAGGCGTCATTTCCCTAAGGGATAACAAGTGAGTGAATGAGTCCAGTTAGGTTCATAACTCACCCAGTTCATCTGTGAGCAGCGTTTTGCCCTGAATGGAGTTCCGGCACTGAATGATCTGCCTGCTACTGTTGCCCAGGTTGAACCTGACTTTCCATGGGATCGGGTGGTCCGGGTCCCTGGCCTCCAACAGGTTACGATCCCGTATGGTTCTCTCCTCCTGCATAACACAACACATCTCACACACACATATTGTATAGCCAAAAGTAAAGACCTTGCTGCATGTGGTGTGGTTTGACATAAAGTAGTATAGCCCAGAGCTGGACCTCAATCAATCAAATGTATTTATAAATCTGTATTCCAGTCCTTTGGACTAGATATAAACCTGAGATGTCAAGAGTTTAACTACCTGTTTCAGGGTGCTGGTTAGGAAGTAGATCAAAGACAGTCCAAACACCACACCTAGCACCCAACGTTTTCTCAGTAACCTTCTTAGCACCATTGCATGACGTTATTGGGAGATCCCTGATTGAATTGCAGCAATGCTAACTAGCTAATGTTAGCTGGATAAACCATCTGTTAGCTAGACTTCTGGTTCAACTGGAGTGTCTGGTTATGACTGGAAGTTTAGAAATCACGTTCAATAACGCCAGTAACTGAGAGCTTCGTTTGGTCAACACCACAACCTAACCCATTTTGTTGGCTAGCTAGCAATGCTAAGCAAGAAAACGTGGTAGTTAGCTAGCTAGCTGTAAATTACATTTATGTCATTTAGCAGACGCTCTTATCCAGAGCGAATAAATACGCTGTAAAGAAGGACCACAGCTGTGCTAGGTAGGTAGATACAAAGTAACGTAAATATTAGCTAGCCGTTTTGGATAAAGAATGCTTTGTTAGCCTGCGTCGCTGCAAACAAGCTAACAATGCTAGATAGCTACTCATCCAGCTAGACTGATAGTTAATATTAGCTAGCTAACGTTACCCGCTGTGAGATGCATAAGCTAATTAGCTAGCGTTAGCTGGCTATAACTCTACAAGACACTACTGACAAATAACATATATTGCTGACGTTGACTTCAGAGAAATGACCGAGAAAGCTTAGAAAATAAACAACGTTTTTTTCCCCCCATGAAATCTGACATCCACCATCAAAACAATTCACTAACACGAGAAAGTGTTCTTCTTCTTCAGTGGGGTTTATCGGCGGTTGGCATCCAACGTTATGGTGCATTACTGCCACCTACCGTACTGGAGTGTGGGCCAGAGACAGGGATAAACTAAATCCTAGCTGCCAACCCAGTTTCTCTTAAAAAAGACAACAAAATATGTGATACTATATCTAATATACTCTTTAAACTAATTTTCTGTATACCCTTCTCCCTCATACTTAATCTCATCCTCTCTCTTTCCCTCTGATACTGCCCACACTGTAGCAATAAATGCTCCACAGACTCTATTTCCTGACAATAATCACATTTTCCTGATGAATGCTTTCCTATCACGCTTAGTGTCTTATTCAACTGGCTGTGTCCCACCCTTAATCTTGTAAATATAGCCTCCTCTCTTCTGTCCCTTCCTGCCGTCCTCCCCTCCCCGACTTTCCTCTGTACTTGAAATAAATGCCTTCCCTTAATATTTCTATTCCACTGCTCCTGCCATCTCTGCACCATCACTGTATATATCAGTATTTTTGCCTCTGCCTTGCTCATTGACACTTCAACATCAACAGCCCCACTACTAAGTGCTTGTTTAGCCTGTTCATCTACTGCCTCGTTCCCCTCCACCCCCACATTGGCTGGAACCCAAGTAAATCTTATCTGAATACCCCATCTGTTTAATCCTGCCATGGGTTTGTAGCACCTCATAAAGCAGGTCTTGTCTGCTACGTGAGCTAAAGGACTGGAGACTCATTAACACTGCACATGAGTCAGAGCAAATAACTAATCTGTCTGGCTTAGCTTCCTCCACCCATTGCAAGGCCAACAGTATGGCCATCAGCTCCGCCGTATATACAGCCAGATGATCTGTAATACGTTTCCTGACTTCCACCTCACATTCCTGCACTACAAATGCTGACCCATTACGTCCTGTCCTTGGATCTTTTGAACCATCTGTGTAAATGGCCACAAAATCCTGATACACAGTTTCCAGACGTCTCTTAAACAAATCAGCTGGATCAACACCCTCCCTATCTTTCTGTAGTCTCTCCAACACTTCTAGATCAACTACTGGAGGCGGGAGTAGCCATGGTGGATTTACAGGAATAACTACCGTTGGAATAAACTCCCTTCCATACAGCCCCATCTCCTTCGCCTGGGTAATACCCATCCACCCAAAGCTCGTGTTCGGTCTTCGCTCATGTTCCCAGCATGCCTGTAAAATCCCTTTCGCAGGATGAGACACCCCATGTCCCTGTAGGTTGACCCAATAATTCATTGCCAGCTGCTGTCTCCTAATCTGCAATGGCATATCCCCCATCTCCACCTGTAATGCAGCCACTGGGGACGTCCTTGCCCCTGTATGACACCTAGCCTTTCCAGTGAGGTCCGGGCTGCCGAACCATATGGTATACTTCCATAATCTATTACAGATGTAGCGGAACAGGTTGAGAGCTTCAAGTTCTTTGGTGTCCACATCACCAACAAACGATCATGGTCCAAACACACCAAGACAGTCGTGAAGAGGGCACGACAAAGCCTATTCCCCCTCAGGAGACTGAAAACATTTGGCATGGGTCCTCAGATCCTCAAAAAGTTATACAGCTGCACCATCGAGAGCATCCTGACTGGTTGCATCACCTCTTGGTATGGCAACTGCTTGGCCTCCGACCGCAAGGCACTACAGAGGGTAGTGAGTACGGCCCAGTACATCACTGGGGCCAAGCTTCCTGCCATCCAGGACCTCTATACCAGGCGGTGTCAGAGGAAGGCCCTCAAAATTGTCAAAGACTCCAGCCACCCTAGTCATAGACTGTTCTCTCTGCTACCGCACAGCAAGCGGTACCGGAGCGCCAAGTCTATGTCCAAAAGGCTTCTCAACAGCTTCTACCCCCAAGCCATAAGACTCCTGAACAGCTAATCATGGCTACCCGGACTACTTGCACTGACCCCCGCACATTGACTTTGCACCGGTACCCCCCTGTATATAGCATTTTTACATTTTTAGTCATTTAGCAGACGCTCTTATCCAGAGCGACTTACAGTTAGTGAGTGCATACATTTTTCATATATATCTGTCTGTATGTGTCTAAACTGTACTGGACGGGAACATGAGGTAAGGCCCGGGGACTGTACAGCCATGACAATACAGGCATATTATCTGCGGTAGTAGCTTCAGCCAATCAGCAGGAGTTATGCCACTGTGAACCTTCCCCCTGCCACCTGACCACAGGCATATCAGACTGACTCCTCCCACCCAGCACTCACAGAATCACAGCATTTCTATAGGTGCCGATTGTTGAAACTAGATGTTGTTGCTCTACTCTGTATGAGTGGTTAGACTAGAGGGAGGAGAGCTGGGGCTCTGATATTGTTACCAGACCATCTCTATAGCCTGGCATTCAAACTGATTCTGCTACGTTTCAATGGTGTGCTCAGCATTCAGTCTGGTTTAACCAGGCTACTGTCTCCCAGACCCACTATAGTGTTAGTCCATAATGCAGTTCCAGCAGCAGATCTGCTTTGTGTGGAAGTAGTACAGAGGTGGGTACCATTTAGCACAGTATGTAACAGTCATCTCTGCTTTAAATTAACTCATTATTATAATACAAAAAGCTTTGTTAAATAACATTAAAATGTGGCACTTAATTCATTGGTCGTATGGCGAATACAGCCATTAACCGTGACCATAGTGAGTAACTCTCCATCACCTCAGTCCTCATGCCATTCATGACCACCATGGTGACGGCTACCAGGAAGTAGAGACATGTAGTACAGTCATCGCCCATGGTGAAAGTTGCTAGGTAGAGGCAGGAAAAGTTGCTAGGTGGAGGCAGGAAGTACCGTCAGCCAGGTAGAGGAGTGACAGCAGATCAGCATGTTATATCAGAACAACCTGTAGGCTCCATCCCTCCCTGGCCTGGCTTGACCTGTTCTTTTTATTTTACTTCTGCTCTTTTTTTTCTCAACACTTTTTTGTTGTTTTTGTGTAATTTTACTTTTTTATTAAAAAATAAATGCATTGTTGGTTAAGGGCTTGTAAGTAAGCATTTCACGTTAATGTCTATACTTTTTTTTTTTTTTGTTCTTACAAGCGACTCCTTTTTTTTTTAGTTTTTATTTTTAAAAAAAGTTACTGGTCCCGGCGAACCCACAACCTGTGTTGCAAACGCCATGTCTATAATGACTTCCCTGCAAGCCATTCCCTCCCCTACCCGGATAGGCCATTTGCGCTGCCATGATCTCCCGGTCCGGCGGTGCACAGAGCCTGATTCGACCAATCTTATGGCACAGTAGCACTGCGATGCGTCTTAGACCACCGCATCAGGAAACTGTTGTTCGGCGCAGGGCACAAATTTGATTGATTTGAATCGATCCAACATACCTTCATAGACCCAGCCCCCACTCATTCCCGCAACAGCGCATCACATTTAGCACCTTCTTACACTTTCCCACCACTCTCTCAATGTGTTCTGCCCAGGTCAGTCTAGTATCAAAGTATATCCCAAGGAACCTGAAGGCCCCCACCCTCTCCAGGTTTCTCCCATATAACATCAATCATACCTCATCTCCCACCTTCCTCCTGGTAAAGAACACTGTCTGAGTTTTCTCTACAGAGAACCTGAATCCCCACATTAATGCCCACCGCTCTACTTCATCAATTGCTTCCTGTACCTTCCTGACTATGTATGGCACATTTCTTCCCCTCTTCCTTAAGGCACCATCATCTGCAAATAATGACCTCCCTATATCCGGCTGTACCTGAGAGTAAACATCATTGATCATGATTGAGAACAACAGAGGACTAATCACGCTCCCCTGTGGTGTACCATTATCCACCAAGTAGCTGCCTGATAAAGACTTCCCCACCCTCACCTGGATAGACCTTCCAAACAGGAAATCCTTTATCCAGTTGTACATTCTTCCTCCTACCCCCATAATATCTAGCTTGATTAACAACCCCTCCTTCCACATCATATCATACGCCTTCTCCACATCAAAAAAGACAGCTACAACAGTCTCCTTGTTCACCTGAGCCTTCCTGACCTTTGCTTCTAAGCAGAGCACTGGATCCATAGTTCCACTACACTTCCTGAACCCACTCTGATGTGGCGTTACTAGCCCTCTGCTCTCCAGGAAGTAAGTTAGCCTCTCCGTAATCATACGTTCCATAATCTTACATACATGTGATGTTAAAGCTATTGGCCGATAGCTTGTTGGCTTCGTTGGATCCTTCCCGGGCTTCCGGATTGGTACCACTACTGCCTCCTTCCAACTGCCTGGTAGTTTCCCCTCCTCCCACTCTGTTGTACAACACCAATACCTAATCCAGCGCCTCATCACTAAGATGGGCCAACATAACATAGCACACCTCATCTTTCCTAGGTGAAGTTAACCCAGCCTTACCTATTGCTCTTTTCACCTCTGCCCTGGTAAATGGTGCACTCAACGCATCATTTACATCCTCCCTCCTTTCCAGCACTCCAGGATGCTCCTCTCTCGTGTTCTCTCTCCCCCTCTGGCCCTCCTCTGACAGATTTGCAGAGCTATGCACTTGGACAAATGCTTTGGCCATCATCTCTGCTTTCTCCTCATCTGTTACTGCCACATCCTCCCCACTCGTCAACACTGGATAATCCCACTCCCTTCTGATCCCACTCATCCTCTTAATCACCCCCCACACTTCTCCCACAGGTGTCACCCTTCCAATGGTGTCACAGAACCGATGCCAACATGACCTCTTTGCCTGACGGATAGTTCTCCTCACCATGGCCTGGGCCTGCTTATATTGAATCCGATGTTGGAAATTATGCGTCCTTTTCAGTACTCTAAATGCCCTGTTCCTAATCCTCACCATTGCCCCACATTCCTCCGTCCACCATGGGACTGCTTTCCTCCTCCCTGAACTCTTAGGTATAGCCTCAGTAGCTGCCCCCACTAACGCTGTTCTCACCCAGTTATTCATACTATCTACATCCCCTCTCATATCCACCCGAGCCATCACCTGCTCACTCAGCTCCTGAAACTGATCCCACTTTGCCCTTCCAAACACCCACCTGCCTACTCCCTCCACTAACACCTCCTCCTCCCTTCGGCCTACTGTGCATAGAATGGGGTAATGATCACTCCCTACTGTCGACTCCTCCCATACCTCCCACTCACATATTCCTGCCATCGCACTAGATACCAGAGTGAGGTCCAAGGCAGACTCTTTCCCTGTGGCCACATCAATCCTGGTCCCTCCGCCATCATTCAGGCACACAATATCTTTATTTTCTATCAAATTTTCCATCACTTGTCCATTTCCATCCATCCGCACAGGCACTCCTGTTATCACCCCTTTACTCCAGTGCTCCCCCTGCGCCATGTCCTTACAGAACACCAACAAGCTCCCATCTCTTAACACTTTAGCATTAACAACTTCCCCAATCAACTCTTTTATCACAGCCGTCAACCTTATCGGACTCATCGCCCCAACTCCCCCTTCCTCCCTAAACTTCATAATCACTTTATTCTCCTCCTCACCTCCCCCTGCCCTTCCTCTGCACTTTCTGCCTCCGAACTTCCACTATCGTTGGAATCTAGGTTGCTCTACTCAAACTTCCTTTTCTGCCTCCTCTCTAACTCTATAGAACTCTCGCTCCCCTTCATACCCCACTCCCTTTCTCTCCCGCTTTCTTTTTCCTCTTTCTTACTCCCTCCTTTAATTGTACCACTATGTTCCATACTTGCTTCCCTTTCCTCTCCATCACTATCTCTTACCATCTCTGACCCATTCACAGCACGGCCGTGCCGAACCTCCGCCACACCGAGTATAGTTTGTTTGTTTCTCAACGATTTCAAAAATCACTCTCCTCAACGAAGTTCCAGCGGAAAGTCTTCCTCCTCCTCCTCCTCCTCCTCCAAAATCGTCCACGGGAAAGTGAACGCTGATTGGTCGACTTGAAATGTCGCTGACGTCATACAGGAAAAACATCGTCGCGAGCCAGGCCAGACAAGCCGCAGGGGTGTGTAGGCAAAATAACTACAAGGGAATGACATTAATAAACAAAACGATGATTCAGGTGAGACCAACAATTTCCGTGGAAAAATATTAATTAAGAATCATGCATATAAATCATGCAATAGAGAAACCTGTAAACCATTGTACTGTACATGTACATGGTGGTGTGATTTTTCGACTGCCAACCATCATAGCTAAATAGTTAGCGTTAGCTATCTGCGGCTAGCTAATTGTTGCAATCAAAGTCTAGCCAACGATCGATACTCTCCCTGCTGCGTTGTACTGTTTTCACTTATTGCAATCTGTGTGTCTGTCTGCACCCCACCATAGGCGTGGATCACACGGGGATGAACTGGATGTGCCATGCAGAGAAGACACAGCAGCAACACGGATGGCATGCCCTCTGAAAGGTTTGAGTTCACGTCCTAGGACACAGGCATTTGCAGGTTCATCATCATATCCTGAAATTGTGCACTAAAGAGGATTCAATATGTATATATAACTGGTTAACTTCAAGAGCCAAATCCATTGAAAGGCAATGCAAGAAATAGACAATAGACAACAGTCTTTGAACCGTCAAAAGATGCAGCTGATCCTCTCTCTGCTCTCCAGGAGCCGTAGCCAAACCCTTGGATCAGAAAGCAGCCTGGACGAAGGAGGCGTGTTTGACTGCCTGAAACCCGACTCGTCCACCTCCCCCCAGCAGCTCTTCTCCGGCCTGGTTGGGGTCGGGGTTCCCTCGGGATCCGGTGTGCCCTCCGCAAACTTCCAGGTGGCTGGCCTTGTTCTGGGGACTCCTCCAGACGTCTTCATCCAGATGACTGCCTCCTCCAGGGAGGAAGGGGGGCCACACCGCTCTGAGTGTGGGCCCTACCTCCCCCGCCCGCCCCCACACCATCATCACAACCACCACCACTTCCACCAGCCGCTCCAGCACCGTACATCCCTGCTGCACTCTGCTGCGGGGGCCGGAGAGAGGCATGGGAACAGGGAGGAGGCCTCGGAGGACCCCTCTACACCGGCTCCGGCCTTGTCGGAGCTGAAGCCTGTAGTCACCTGGCTACAGAGGGGGTTCCCATTCATCCTGATCCTCCTGGCTAAAGTGTGTTTTCAGCACAAGCTCGGTAAGACTGGTTTTAGATCGCAATAAAAAAAGTGGCTCTTATACTTGTGTAGTAACACCAATACTACACTGATATAAATACTACACTGATATAAATATTACACTGATATACTAGACTGATTTAAATACTATACTGATATAAATATTACACTGATATACTACACTGATATAAATACTACATTGATATAAATACCACACTAATGACAATGTTTTTGTTATATAGCCTAGTACTTTAGTAGTTGCTTTGTAGTTGTATAGTATTGGAGTTGGTCATTTTGTGGAATAAGTAGAATAAGGAACATTTGGAAACTTTGGAAGTGTCAGATACTGTGTGTGACTGACTGCTAACCCCCTTCTGTTTCTCTTGGTAGGTATTGCTCTGTGTGTTGGGATGGCCAGCACGTTTGCCTTCGCCAATTCAACATTCAAGCACCAGGTGTCACTACGGGTAATTTTCACATTCTATACAACTTCGGTGTGAGAGCACAAGTCTTAGACTTTTCATAAACATTTGAGCACATTCTTTGAGTGTTATTGAGTCTATGTAAATAGCTAGCTTGAGATTAGGTTATGGCTCAGCTAATGAGAATATACGTACATTAGTGATTAGTAAAGTATTTGATTATTTAACTATTTGTCTGTCTGTGCAAATCAGGAGGAGAGGTCTGTGGTTGTAGCTCTGTGGATGATCATGTTCCTATCTGGAAACATAGTGTATCTCTACTACACATTCGGTGCTGAGGAGCTGTACAACAGGTAGGGTAAAACCATGTCTTGTGCTTCTTTCTTATGGTATTGCACTGAAAACCCTACATTGCACTGAAAACCCTACATTGCACTGAAAACCCTACATTGCACTGAAAACCCTACATTGCACTGAAAACCCTACATTGCACTGAAAACCCTACATTGCACTGAAAACCCTACACAGTTGGCTGACATCGACATTTTCCTCGTTGAAATGATTTTCTTTCTCATCGATCTGTATACAGTATGACTCCTTTTGGTCCTTTTTGTTGTAATATGATTTTCATTGTCTTTAGGCATATGTTACCATGTGCCTTCTTGTCCTGTGAGTATTGATTTAGTGTTTATCATTACACCTGTTTTCACATTTTGTTTTGTCTTCAAAATGTTTAGTCATGTTGTTAATTTTTGTTGTTACTCCATCTTCTGTTGATCCATGAAAGTGTCCCTTGTACCCATTAGAGACTAGACCAGATATAAGGTATCACATCCATCCATGATCAAACCTCGACCTTTACAGTACTGAAGTCTGTCTCATCTCTGCCCCCCCCCCCCCCCCCCCACCACCACCACCACCACCAGTCTGATGTTTGCAAAGCCCAACATCAACAGCTTTGACTTCTTTGATCTAATCTGGGCGGTAGGGATCACCGACTTTGTTCTCAAGTACTTTACCATCGGCCTGAAGTGCTTCATTCTGTTTCTACCCAAGATCCTCCTGGCCTTCAAATCCAGGGTAAGAGCCTGTGTTAGTGTTTTTTTATATTCATAAAGGTTTTTACTTTTATCCTGAGGGTCACAGCTTGTGTGCGTTTTATATTCATTAAAGTTTCACTCATGTCCTTGGGGTCACAGTGTGGGAGTGTGTGTGTTGATGTCTTATCCACGTGACAGTTTTGCTTATAACCTGTGGTCACAGAAAGAGTATGTGATTGTGTGTCTGTAGGTGTTCTATCTGCGTGCAGGTTTTGCCCGTGGGGCTCACAGTGTGTTTTGACCAAAGATTTATATATACACTAGATAACTGATGGGGGCGCTGTGTTTAAGCCACCATGCCTCCATATTGGCACTCCTACACCATTGTAAAACATATTTTGGAAGCTATAGAAATGCATTTATTAATGTTTACATTCATTTTTGCCACATTTATTGTATTGCAGACACCTTAACGCATACTTGTAAATGATATGTGAGCTAAACATACATTTGTACAAAATATATTAAAATATTTCCTTAAACTAGATATTTTTGAGATTACTAATGTTACTGGCCCCACTACAACAAAAAATATTTGTCCATTAAACATTTAATTGAAATAGTGTAGAATACCATTCATTCCTATGGACGACTGCTCCTACTGGGGAGTGCCAATATGGCTGACCAGTAGCTTCAAAGCCTCTCAATGGCCAATACATAGAATCAGCAATCCAGGGTTTATATACATCATTGGTTTTGACTCGGCTGATAAACAGGCCAATCAGAGAGTGAGGCTGCTGCCACTGAGATCATTTTCCCTGGGGGGCTGCAGGGGTGAGGTCATCCCTCCCTGGGGTTGGACCATTACTGTGGTGTGTCTGTGTCTGTGCTCCCACTCCTACTCACTCTCGGTTGCTGGGGATGCCCGCGCCACGCAATCACTAAACCGACCGACCAACCAACCCCCACCTCAACCACCATCCTCTGCCTTCCTGACCCCCCCCCCCCCCCCTTGTGCATTGATTTATCATTTGATTTAGTTTGCTCTACTGTTTCTTCAACATTGCTCCTTGGCTGGCTACATTTTTGGCACTGTCAGTGCACTCCCACTCCAGGGAAATGTATTTTCTAATAGCCATGCATCCACCTGAAGCAAGATTTAATGAAAACATGTTTTTAGCAGCTGAGGGGGATAACTCATAAAGTGGCGTACCCTAAACTGCTGGATAGGTTTTGATTGGTAGGTTGAGAGGTCAGCGTCACTAATGAAACAAAACCAGCAGGAAGTACCAGAATGCTTTGGAACTGCTGCCGTGGCTCAAAGTTTCTGGCTGGAGTCCAGTTTTAGTTTGACACATTGTGTGTGTGTGTGTGTGTGTGTGTGTGTGTGTGTGAGGCCAACACTAGGGGTGGGCAGGGACAATGACGAAAGATGAATTTCCTGCTTGCGGAGGTCTCCCACCCCCAGTCTCTCTGCTACAGGGTTTCCAACCCAGAGTGATTAATCTCTGTCAGGTGATATCCACAGATCCATTATACACACTGTGATGCCACTGGGAATCCATTTCCTGTTAGTGTTTGGCCTTCTGTTTTTGAACCCCTCACTCCTCATATACACACACACACACACACAGCAACAACAGGAACTTTTTATTTTTTAAGAGTACTGTCGCCTTGTCCTCCTGGCTTCCCCTGTGGCATCCATTGGAGAGCGAGGAGGAGTGGCCTCTTAAAGAAAAGATGGCTGCCCCCGCAGGTTGACGTGCCTAGGGCTGAACTGTGTGGGTAGCAGGTGGAGAGAGCCGAGCGGCTGCCAGTTTCCCTTGCGGTGTGGGGAAATTGCCTTTACTGCTGTGAAGCTGCGGCCTGCGGAGCCCTCGCCGGTGGCCATGCTTAGGCTGGAGCTTGTTGCTTACAGTGTGCTGCTCCTCAACAGATAGGCCTAGAGGTAGCTTTATTTGTGTTGTTTTTTGGCCGTTTACTTATCTTAAAGAAAAACTGACTGTATTGAGGGAATATACACTTGTCTTTGAAGAATATAACTAGTTTGTGGTGAAACCTCAGTTTTTTTCTGTATTTCTCTTTTTCACACCATCTCAAACCACCCATCAACCACAGACATTTTTCAGATGAATGTATTACATGCATTTCCAATGTCTTATCAGTGTCCTCCGTGTGTGTGTGGCAGGGTAAGTTCTACCTGGTGATAGAGGAGCTGAGTCAGCTGTTCAGGGCCCTGGTGCCCATCCAGCTGTGGTACAAGTACATCATGGGAGAGGACCCATCCACCAGCTACTTCCTAGGAGCCATGCTCATTATCAGCTACAGCCTCTGCAAGGTAACGTAGCGCTAATATAACTCACACTCAGCCTCTGCAAGGTAACGTAGCGCTAATATAACTCACACTCAGCCTCTGCAAGGTAACGTAGCGCTAATATAACTCACACTCAGCCTCTGCAAGGTAACGTAGCGCTAATATAACTCACACTCAGCCTCTGCAAGGTAACGTAGCGCTAATATAACTCACACTCAGCCTCTGCAAGGTAACGTAGCGCTAATATAACTCACACTCAGCCTCTGCAAGGTAACGTAGCGCTAATATAACTCACACTCAGCCTCTGCAAGGTAACGTAGCGCTAATATAACTCACACTCAGCCTCTGCAAGGTAACGTAGCGCTAATATAACTCACACTCAGCCTCTGCAAGGTAACGTAGCGCTAATATAACTCACACTCAGCCTCTGCAAGGTAACGTAGCGCTAATATAACTCACACTCAGCCTCTGCAAGGTAACGTAGCGCTAATATAACTCACACTCAGCCTCTGCAAGGTAACGTAGCGCTAAAATAACTCACACTCAGCCTCTGCAAGGTAACGTAGCGCTAAAATAACTCACACTCAGCCTCTGCAAGGTAACGTAGCGCTAAAATAACTCACACTCAGCCTCTGCAAGGTAACGTAGCGCTAATATAACTCACACTCAGCCTCTGCAAGGTAATGTAGTGCTAATATGATTCGCACTTCTTTTTTGTGGAGGTAGTTATATTCAATGTTGTTGGAGTAGCCTGTTCAATGGAGTCATTCAGTTACAGTTGAAGTCGGAAGTTTACATATACTTAGGTTGGAGTCATTAAAACAAGTTTTTCAACCACTCCACAAATATCTTGTTAACAAACTAAAGTTTTGGCATGTCGGATAGGACATCTACTTTCTGCATGACACAAGTAATTTTTCCAACAATTGTTTACAGACAGATTATTTCATTTATAATTCACTGTATCACAATTCCAGTGGGTCAGAGGTTTACATACACTAAGTTGACTGTGCCTTTAAACAGCTTGGAAAAATACCAGAAAATGATGTCATGGCTTTAGAAGGTTCTGATAAGCTAATTGACATCATTTGAGTCAATTGGATGTGTACCTGTGGATGTATTTCAAGGCCTACCTTCAAACTCAGTGCCTCTTTGCTTGACGTCATGGGAAAATCAAAAGAAATCAGCGAAGACCTCAGAAAAAGAATTGTAGACCTCCACAAGTCTGGTTCATCCTTGGGAGCAATTTCCAAACGCCTGAAGGTACCACGTTCATCTGTACAAACAATAGTGCGCAAGTATAAACACCATTGGACCACGCAGCTGTCATACCGCTCAAGAAGGAGACGCGTTCTGTCTCCTAGAGATGAACATACTTTGGTGCGGAAAGTGCAAATCAATCCCAGAACAACAGCAAAGGACCTTGTGAAGATGCTGGAGGAAACAGGTACAAAAGTATCTATCCACAGTAAAACGAGTCCTATATCGACATAACCTGAAAGGCCGCTCAGCAAGGAAGAAGCCACTGCTCCAAAACCGCCATAAAAAAGCCATACTACGGTTTGCAACTGCACTTAGGGACAAAGATCGTACTTTTTGGCCATAATGACCATTGTTGTGTTTGGAGGAAAAAGGGGGCTGCTTGCAAGCCGAAGAACACCATCCCAACCGTGAAATACAGGGGTTGCAGCATCATGCTGTGGGGGTTCTTTGCTGCAGGAGGGACTGGTGCACTTCACAAAATAGATGGCATCATGAGGAAGGAAAATTATGTGGATATATTGAAGCAACATCTCAAGACATCAGTCAGGAAGTTGAAGCTTGGTCACAAATGGGTCTTCCAAATGGACAACGACACCAAGCATACTACCAAAGTTGTGGCAAAATGGCTTAAGGACAACAAAGTCAAGGTATTGGAGTGGCCATCACAAAGCCCTGACCTCAATCCTATAGAACATTTGTGGGCAGAACTGAAAAATGGTGTGCAAGGAGGCCTAGCTCGCACACACTAGCTCTGTCAGGAGGAATGGGCCAAAATTCACCCAACTTATTGTGGGAAGCTTGTGGAAGGCTACCCGAAACGTTTTACCCAAGTTAAACAATTTAAAGGCAATGCTACCAAATACTAATTGAGTGTATGTAAACTTCTGACCCACTGGGAATGTGATGAAATAAATAAAAGCTGAAATAAATCATTCTCTCTACTATTATTCTGATATTTCACATTCTTAAAATAAAGTGGTGATCCTAACTGACCTAAAACAGGGAATTTTTACTAGGATTAAATGTCAGGAATTGTGAAAAACTGAGTTTAAACGTATTTGGCTGAGGTGAACTTTTTACTTCAACTGTATATTCAACTCTGTATATTCAATGGAGTTGTTGGTATTGTGATAACTAAATGTGTGTGGGTGGTGTATGTGCAAGAAATTCATGATAAATAGGCTAAAGCATGAATACATCATGGGTGGCTACAGCTTTCAAAGTATTGTGGGTTGAGATGAGAAACTGGAGAAATTGAGTCAGAGTTGTTCATAGATGTGTGTCATTAGAAGGTTGCAAAATGGGACAGGATACTGCACATCACTGAGTGGTTAAGAATATAACATTTAATTAAGTTAAGAATACAAAAAGGAACCAAAATATATTGACCCAGTAGAGAATTGTGTTAGTTAGAGGAAGTTAGAATTTTGTAACTTTTTCAGGATAAAATTCAGTGGTCACCAACCCTGTTCCTTGAAAGCTGGAGGTGCAGGCTTTTGTTCCAGCCCTGCAGTAATGCACCCGATTCTAGAGCCTTAACTGTTTGTGTTGATCTTTCAGTCGTTTGACCTCTGTGGACGAGTATCAGCCATACGCAAGGCAATGGCAATTCTCTGCAGTTCTCAGGTGAGAAATTATTACTTTTTGTAAATACAAGTATCTGGGTCAATTAGCAGCCCACATCACTATCTTATAGCCATTTAAGTAATATTTCTAGCTGCAGTAGTACACCTTCAACAGTGAATTTGTTGTGCCTGATATTGCACTCTGATTGAGTTATCTTACTACATATACATTATTAGAATGCACAACTTATACACTGAGTTGACCCTGTATGGAATGGGAAGGTAAACATTTACATTTAAAAATATATATATTATTTAGCAGACGCTCTTATCCAGAGTGACTTACAGGAGCAATTAGAGTGAAGTGCCTTGCTCAAGGGCACATTGGTAGATGTGTCACCTATTTGACTCGGGGATTCGAACCAGCAACCTTTCGGTTACCGGCCCAACTCTCTTAACCGCTAGGCTACCTGACTTTGTCTCTTTGTCACCACCTACCTGCTGCTCTATCACCCACAGAGTTATGGTGTGAGAGCCAGCAGCCAGCAGTGCAGTGAAGCTGGGGACATTTGTGCTATTTGTCAGGGCGACTTCAGAGACCCCATCGTTCTTCTCTGTCAGGTGAGGGGACATATATAAACCCATGGCTCTAGCTACTATCCTCACTAGTATGTTATTCACTGCTAAGAGTTCTATGTTACATTTGTGTCAGGGTCAGGTTATTATTTTTTTACCAACAGCTGATTATGTGATAGTGTGGGCAATCTGTGGTGTAGACAGTAAGTAGGATGGTGTCATGTCATGGGTGAAGGAGTGCATGTAACGGTAAACTTAATTTTGTTTGTCTGTCTCTCTACCCTCTAGCATGTGTTCTGTGAGGAGTGCCTGTGTCTGTGGTTCGACCGTGAGCGAACGTGCCCCCTGTGTCGATCTGCGGTCATAGAGACCCTGCACTGCTGGAAGGACGGCACCACCTCTGCCCACTTCCAGATCTACTAGTGATTGACGGCCAGATGCCCACCAGACACTGGGGGGCTCTATGGAGTCCATTTAGTATGCCATTAATGTATAAAGTCAGTTACTATACCTTCTCTACACCACTGTCTCTATCCCTATCACACTGCTTGCCTAAGTTTGGCTTCAGCCATGTCTTGCAAAGAAATATAATATTAACGTATCACAGTGTGCCACAGCACCGTGTGGTATGGGTTAGTGTTCTTGCAAAGGGTACCTATAGTAGTATGTCAGTATAACAATTGCTTGTTTGCTCATGTATTTAGTTATATTTAGTTACTTATGCATATCACCTGATTTCTAGTGTAGATTCAGCTTATGTTTAGTGACATAATTTAAACCATAAAAAATGTATAGAAAAAAAATCACAGGTTCTGTGTTCTTTCAGTGTGTATCAGATTTTCCAATTAAACCATGATTGATGCAGTATTGTTAAACTTTTGTTGAATGTTTTATGTTGTCACATTATTAGTCATTGCTTAATAATGATAGCATGAAAGCATTTTTACTTTGAAACTTTTATTATCTCGAGTGAGCACAGAATTCACAATGTAATACATATTTAAATAGCATGTAAAGAACACATTCTTTATAAAAGACACAGATTCAGCACTGCAATTGAAAATTACAGTTTTTGTGATATATATAAAAACAGTTTATGGACTGTAAACATAAATAGCATGCCCTTATATTTACACATGATTTCTTGCATGGTTTCATGAACATTATCTGCGTTAACACTGCTACCCCAAGCCCATTTCAAAAGTTCAAAAAAATAGAACAGTTGACATATTCCCCTCTCTCTTCAGTCATCAATATTTGATACAGCCCACAGCATTATTCACCTAATGAAAATAAATGACTAGAAACAAAAAAACGGTTTGAAAAAAATCGTATCAAAATTGATTTTCATCTGTAGTGATGGTAGAATCCAGACTTTGCATGGTCTATAATTATTACAGAAGCTTATCTAACAAGTACAGTGCAATTTATCCACTGAGCACCATTTCAAGAATGCCCGTCACAAGAGACAAGGCACCTAGAAGTAGGCTACACACGTTCTTAAATGTATTTTTTGCATACCAACAGGATATTTCAGTTAGGTAATTGACATCGTATATAGTCCATCGATAATTCAAGTGTAAATTCATCAACGTATGACAGTTGCGTGGGCAATATTAGTACGCTTTTCCTTTAGTAACCGTCAGGGGAGGAAGACATCACCGTTCTAAACTCGGAAGAACCGCCAGACAGTGAGAGTGATGATAAAAGTGGCGTCAGTCATATCTGTTGAATTCAAATGAATTCAAAGCAATGCGTCAAATAATATAATAAATGGGGGAAAAAACGCACTGAGAAATGTATTCACGCAGTACTGCATCTTAGACCCACATGTCCTAAAGTATTATTTTAATGGAAAATGTTACTCAGTCTCTGTGACAAAATGTTATGTCACCTGAACTCTGAAGCACAACATTTTCCTTAGCCAACACAAAGTACAAAGAATGTATGTCCTTTGATTTTGGTCAGATTCCTTATTTTTCAAAACCCTGTTCTTAACGGTCTGGCTGCATGTGTGGCATGTTGATCATGATGACATGTAAGTGTGCACATTGGACCTCGGCGCTCTGTGGCAGGTTGACTGGGTGGCATCCATTTTCTCAGTGCAAATATTCTGACAGCTTTCTCTGTCTCCTCCTCGGGATCTTGAAGGCACCATCTAAAGTGGATAAAAAAATAAAAATGTTAGCTCATAAACATTTAGATCATATTTTGATTTTAAAAAGAATCAGTGAATAATCCAACATAGTTTTGCTTATGAATAACTAAATGATAAATTCTCAAAATTACACCAGCTATTATTACATATTTATAACCGCAATTCACCTGCTGAACATTGTTGGGGAAAGTTTGCCATCAAGCGTCTATACTCGCAACCAAGTTTGTTTGCATTACTCATATGCTGCGTTCATAACAACTAGGAACTCGGAACTGGGAACTCGGTAATCTCCGACTTCAGACTTCAGTGCGTTCTAAACAATTGGGAACTCGGACAAAAACGAGCTCCGAATGGGAAAAATCGTTTTGAACGGTCATTCAACTCGGAATTCCAACTCGGGAACTCTTTCTAGAGCTCCGACTTTCCGACCTGAAGATCACTGACGTCATGATCATGACCTCGTATTTTTCCGAGTTCCCAGTTGTTTTGAACGCGGCAAAAGTGATGACGCGCTCCTGTGAAGCTTACCTGTTGCTGGCTTTGCCTTTGTAGTGTCTTGCACCTATAGGTGTCGCTTTCTGATAAAGAGCATGAGGACGGTGATTTGTATTGCTGTGCATACAAAGCCTTTAAAGTGGACTTTTCTATTCAACTCCAGTTTCTCGTAATATCTGTTGTCTCGAGATCCAACCGTCCAGTTTTTATCCATCTCGTCCCCGATCCTCCGGAGCCGGGAGGCGAGCGACTGGGTCCCGGAGCATGGTGAGGGTCCTTGGGCACAGATCATCGAGTCGTCGGGTAGAGGCAGAGGCTGGTCTATCGGGAGCCAGCACATGTTCTCTAAAAATCTATTTATATTTGTTATCTGTCCCTGTCCCCTCCTCTTATCCACTCTTCGGGAATATGATCTTCTTTACTGTACAGATCAGATCTGGACTGTGTTGTTTCTCTCTCTCTCTCGCTGTTATATTATTCATGATTAAGGAGTCACATGGTGTGAGGGGTTTACATCATCTTCTCCCAAAAGAGAGAGGTAATCATTAACTCTTAAAAACCCGTCGTCTCATCTTATCTGACGAGCCTTTTGTTTGATATAATGGTCAGAGGGGTCTAGTTGAATAATCATAGGATTTCAAATAATAAGTATAATACATTTTTGAGAGTACTCTACCTAGAAAGTGGACACAATCGGGATCATAAACTGTTTTCTTTAATAATTGTGTATTTTTATTTCAAGTTTATTCATTGTACGGGTTATGCTATTTTGAAATTAAAATATGAAATAATCCACTATTACAGACCGATGCGCCCATAATAAACTATACAGAATTAAATGTTGTGGAACTGAGGCTATACCTAAGAGTTCAGGGAGGAGGAGGAGGAAAGCAGTCCCATGGTGGATGGAGTGAGGGGCAATGGTGAGGAGTAGGAACAGGGCATTTAGAGTACTGAAAAGGACGCATCATTTCCAACATCTGATTCAGTATAAGCAGGCCCAGGCCATGGTGAGGAGAACTATCCGTCAGGCAAAGAGGTCATGTTGGCATCGGTTCTGTGACACCATTGGAAGGGCGACACCTGTGGGAGAAGTGTGGGGGATGATTAAGAGGATGAGTGGGATCAGAAGGGAGTGGGATTATCCAGTGTTGACGAGTGGGGAGGATGTGGCAGTAACAGATGAGGAGAAAGCAGAGATGATGGCCAAAGCATATGTCCAAGTGCATAGCTCTGCAAATCTGTCAGAGGAGGGGCAGAGGGGGAGAGAGAACACGAGAGAGGAGCATCCTGGAGTGCTGGAAAGGAGGGAGGATGTAAATGATGCGTTGAGTGCACCATTTACCAGGGCAGAGGTGAAAAGAGCAATAGGTAAGGGAGGGTTAACTTCACCTGGGAAAGATGAGGTGTGCTATGTTATGTTGGCCCATTTTAGTGTAGTCCCGTGTGGCTCAGTTGGTAGAGCATGGCGTTTGCAACGCCAGGGTTGTGGGTTCGTTTCCCACGGGGGACCAGTATGAAAATATATGCACTCGCTAACTGTAAGACGCTCTGGATAAGAGCGTCTGCTAAATTACTAAAATGTAAATGAGGCACTGGATAAGGTATTGGTGTTGTACAACAGAGTGTGGGAGGAGGGGAAACTACCAGCCAATTGGAAGGAGGCAGTAGTGGTACCAATCCGGAAGCCCAGGAAGGATCCAATGATGCCAACAAGCTATTGGCCAATAGCTTTAACATCACATGTATGTAAGATTATGGAACGTATGATTACGAGAGGCTAACTTACTTCCGGGAGAGCAGAGGGCTAGTAACGCCACATCAGAGTGGGTTCAGGAAGGGTAGTGGAACTATGGATCCAGTGCTCTGCTTAGAAGCAAAGGTCAGGAAGGCTCAGGTGAACAAGGGGACTGTTGTAGCTGTCTTTTTTGATGTGGAGAAGGCGTATGATATGATGTGGAAAGAGGGGTTGTTAATCAAGCTTGATATTATGGGGGTAGGAGGAAGAATGTACAACTGGATAAAGGATTTCCTGTTTGGAAGGTCTATCCAGGTGAGGGTGGGGAAGTCTTTATCAGGCAGCTACTTGGTGGATAATGGTACACCACAGGGGAGCGTGATTAGTCCTCTGTTGTTCTCAATCATGATCAATGATGTTTACTCTCAGGTACAGCTGGATATAGGGAGGTCATTATTTGCAGATGATGGTGCCTTAAGGAAGAGGGGAAGAAATGTGCCATACATAGTCAGGAAGGTACAGGAAGCAATTGATGAGGTAGAGCGGTGGGCATTAATGTGGGGATTCAGGTTCTCTGTAGAGAAAACTCAAACAGTGTTCTTTACCAGGAGGAAGGTGGGAGATGAGGTATGATTGATGTTATATGGGAGAAACTTGGAGAGGGTGGGGGCCTTCAGGTTCCTTGGGGTATACTTTGATACTAGACTGACCTGGGCAGAACACATTGAGAGAGTGGTGGGAAAGTGTAAGAAGGTGCTAAATGTGATGCGCTGTCTGACGGGGAAGGAGTGGGGGGCTGGACGTTCCTCATTGAAGACTATATATGTTGCATTGATCCAATCTGTAATAGATTATGGCAGTATAGCATATGGTTCGGCAGCCCGGACCTCACTGGAAAGGCTAGATGTCATACAGGGGCAAGGACTCAGAATATGTAGTGGGGCGTTTCGGATGTCCCCAGTGGCTGCATTACAGGTGGAGACGGGGGATATGCCGTTGCAGATTAGGAGACAGCAGCTGGCAATGAATTATTGGGTCAACCTACAAGGACATGGGGTGTCTCATCCTGCGAAAGGGATTTTACAGGCATGCTGGGAACATGAGCGAAGACAGAACACGAGCTTTGGGTGGGTAATACCCAGGCGAAGGAGATGGGACTGTATGGAAGGGAGTTTAGTCCAACGGTAGTTATTCCTGTAAATCCACCATGGCTACTCCCGCCTCCAGTAGTTGATCTAGAAGTGTTGGAGAGACTACAGAAAGATAGGGAGGGGGTTGATCCAGCTGATTTTTTTAAGAGACGTCTGGAAACTGTGTATCAGGATTTTGTGGCCATTTACACAGATGGTTCAAAAGATCCAAGGACAGGACGTACTGGGTCAGCATTTGTAGTGCAGGAATGTGGGGTGGAAGTCAGGAAACGTATTACAGATCATCTGGCTGTATATACGGCGGAGCTGATGGCCATACTGTTGGCCTTGCAGTGGGTGGAGGAAGTTAAGCCAGACAGAATAGTTATTTGCTCTGATTCATGTGCAGTGTTAATGAGTCTCCAGTCCTTTAGCTCACGTAGCAGACAAGACCTGCTTTATGGCATGATTAAACAGATGGGTATTCAGATAAGATTTTCTCGGGTTTCAGCACATGTAGGGGTGGAGGGGAACGAGGCAGTAGATGAACAGGCTAAACAAGCACTTAGTAGTGGGGATGTTGATGTTGAAGTATCAATGAGCAAGGCAGAGGTAAAAAGCCTGATATATACAGTGATGGTGCAGAGATGGCAGGAGCAGTGGAATGGAAATAATAAGGGAAGGCATTTATTTCAAGTACAGAGGAAAGTCGGGGAGGATGGCAGGAAGGGACAGAAGAGAGGAGGCTATTTTTTACAAGATTAAGGGTGGGACACAGCCAGTTGAATAAGAAATTAAACGTGATAGGAAAGCATCTATCAGGAAAGTGTGATTATTGTCAGGAAATAGAGACTGTGGAGCATGTATTGCTACAGTGTGGGCAGTATCAGAGGGAAAGAGAGAGGATGATATTTAGTATGAGGGAGAAGGGGATACAGGAAATTAGTTTAAAGAGTATATTGAGCAGAACATCATTAGATATAGTCTCAAATATTTTGTTATCTTTTTTCAGAGAAACGGGGTTGGCAAGTAGGATTTAGTTTCTCCCTGTCTCTGGCCCACATTCCAGTACGGTAGGTGGCGGTAATGCACCATAACGTTGGATGCCAACCGCCGATAAACCCCACTGAAGAAGAAGTACATTTTGCGGAACTAATCTGACAGCAAAGTCTCTCTAGTCGGACAGGTATTGGTACAGGACTTCACAGTTTGTTTTTGTTTTGGGATGAGGTAGAAAAGTGTTAACCCTACCGCTTTGTTATTTTGTCTAAAAATAACAAGTTAAAGATATATGTTGTTGTACCAATGTTAGAAGAATATGGCAGAAGACGATCTCTTCTGGCGTTTAGAGAGCGTTTGAAGCAAGAACTGACAAACAACATACCCGCAAATTGACTCGGTACCGGTACCCTCTGAATATAGCCTCGTTATTGTTATTTTATTGTGTTACTTTTTTCCTTCATTTTTTAATATTTGTAATTTGTAGCAAATATTTTCTTACTTACTTAAAAGAAGTTCTGCATTGTTGGTTAAGGGCTTGTGTACAGGTGTACTCTCTTGGCCAACCAAGTTGGGCAGACTCTAAAAAATAAGTATTTTTGTGAAAAAATACCAGTAAGAAGACAGAAGAATGTGTCCTCTGCAACATCACAGGGGAACAGTGAATGAGAAGAGGACCAATCACAATGTATCGATAGCCGAGGGCTTGCTAGGTGGAAGGACCAGTCCCTTGTTGGAGAGGATTCAAGAGAAGAGGACTCGAAGGAAGAGACAATACCACAGTGTGACAAATACACTAGCACCTCCCTGCAAAAACTGCTGCAGAGGAAAGTTAACAAGGCCGACAAATTGGTGGATCAATTCATTCAAGACCTGGTAAGATGATGTTAAGGATGATCATGACAGTTCTACCAGTAGAGGTAGCCTAACTACCACTTAATTAAGTGGAACTCTATTTCATTGCTGTTTCACTTATTTTTTGCAGAATGAGATAAATTACACTCCCTTCTTTGACGTCGAGTCGCCCTACGAGTTAGCCCTGAATATCTTCCAATATCTCAGCCGGACAGAGTTGGGATGATGTGCTCAGGTAAACTTAAGTTCGTGATCACATCCGTCAGTCATATAAAACTCAGAGACTACTCTGTTTTCACCTGAAGCATAAGTGGACCTGAACAGACCTTACACTGTTTTGTGCAACCTAATGTGACGTAGGCCCTAGCCCTAGTAGGTGATGATGACCACCCTATCCAACATGTCCTCTTCAATGTCCTCTCCAGGTCAGCAAGATGTGTAGTATAAAGTACACTGTTCTACTCTGTTGTACCTAAGTGATGATCACTCAATATGCTTCCACAGGTGAGCCAAGGCGTGGGATGAGGTGCAGTCGTTTAGGATGTGCCTGAAGGAGGGTTATCACCACGCTACCTCCTGTCTCTGACTCCCCCTGCTAGAAGAGCACACTACAAGACTGCAGGAACTCTGAGAAAACTGTGCACTCCAACTGGAAGGTAGGGGACGGCTTGGCTTGATAGGGGGGTGTGTGTGTGTGTGTGTGGCGCTTTAACTCAATTCATTTTTGAGAACTCAATGCACTTCATCTGAACATGCCCTTAAACCTGTGTAACTATACAGTATTAACTTAAACCTGTGTAACTATACAGTATTAACTTAAACCTGTGTAACTATACAGTATTAACTTAAACCTGTGTAACTATACAGTATTAGCTTAAACCTGTGTAACTATACAGTATTAACTTAAACCTGTATAACTATACAGTATTAACTTAAACCTGTATAACTATACAGTATTAACTTAAACCTGTGTAACTATACAGTATTAACTTAAACCTGTGTAACTATACAGTATTAGCTTAAACCTGCGTAACTATACAGTATTAACTTAAACCTGTGTAACTATACAGTATTAACTTAAACCTGTGTAACTATACAGTATTAACTTAAACCTGTGTAACTATACAGTATTAACTTAAACCTGTGTAACTATACAGTATTAACTTAAACCTGTGTAACTATACAGTATTAACTTAAACCTGTGTAACTATACAGTATTAACTTAAACCTGTGTAACTATACAGTATTAGCTTAAACCTGCGTAACTATACAGTATTAACTTAAACCTGTGTAACTATACAGTATTAACTTAAACCTGTGTAACTATACAGTATTAGCTTAAACCTGCGTAACTATACTATAGTCTCCTGAGTGGCGCCGCATCGCAGTGCTAACTGTGCCACTAGAGATCCTGGTTCGAATCCAGGCTCTGTCGCAGCCGGCCGCGACCGGGAGACTCATGGGCGGCGCACAATTGGCCCAGCGTCGTCCAGGGTAGGGGAGGGAATGGCCGGCAGGGATGTAGCTCAGTTGATAGAGCATGGCGTTTGCAACGCCAGGGTTGTGTGTTCGTTTCCCACGGGGGGCCAGTATAAAAAAATAAATAAAAAATATGTATTCACTAACTGTAAGTCGCTCTGGATAAGAGCGTCTGCTAAATGACTAAAATGTAAAATGTAAAATGATATACAGTATTAACTGTAGTAACAACATTGTAATTACATAGGGACGCCGATAAACTAAACGTTTTACATGTCTTCCTACTCCTAGAATCGTGTTGAATCAATCAGCCAACTGCAGTATGAGCTAGGGAAGGTGCTGTGTGACGTCAGTTCCTGTGACAGCTATGTTGTTGCTGGGTAAGATATACAGTAATATAACCAGTTTTTAGTGTCGGAAGGGGCAAGCAGCTGTGTTGATCAGCACGTTTTCAGCCCAATGAAGGGAGATCAATAGACATTGAGCTGCTGCTTTGACATTGTACTAAAAGAGACCACCACGTGTCTTTGAACTTTTCACATTCTTTTAATTCAACCTGTTGTGAAAACACAATAGACTTCAGTCTCTATGTTATGCCCCTTACTGCTACGGATTCTCACTCTCACATGAAGTAAGCTATTTAAATTCGACTGGGCCCGGTGTACCGTAGGATGATAGTGTGACTTGAGCTGCTGAAATGAGTCTGTTAAATGTTGTATCAGGAGGCTGGGGCCCGCAGGGGGCGGTCTGATTAAATTCTCTAATGGCCCCGGTGAACTCTGGCTGGGTCCCAAATGGCACCCTATTCCCTACATACAGAGACAGAGGGCTGCCTACTGCAGCAAATTGTATTCACACCTAGAATATAATTTATTCCCCCTCAGGAGGCTGAAAAGATTTGGCATGGGCCCTTGGATCCTCAAAAAGTTTTACACCATCGAGAGCATCTTGACTGGCTGCATCACCGCTCGGTATGGTAAATGCACCGCCCTTGACCGCAAAGTGCTACAGAGGGTGGTGCGGACAGCCTAGTACATCACTGGGGCCGAGCTCCGTGCCATCCAGGACCTCTATATCAGGCGGTGCCAGAGGAAGGCTCGATGATGCAGCCACCCAAGCCATAGACTGTTCACTCTGCTACCGTCCGGCAAATGGTACCGGAGCATCGGCAGCATCGGCAGCATCGGCTCTCGGACCAACAAGCCATAAGACTGCTAAATAGCCACCCTGCTAAATAGTCAATTAATGGTACCCAACTATCTAACTATATATATATTTTTTTGATTAGTCATATGCATAGGGTCGCAGATGTAATTGCAGGGTACAGTGAAATTCTTAAGCTCCGAGCTCCATCAGTGCAGGTCAAAAAGAGAAGGGAATGAAACCATAATACAAATTATAATAATATATATTTATACTGAACAAAAATATAAACGCAATGTGCAACAATTTCAACGATTTTACTGAGTTACAGTTCATATAAGGAAATCAGTCAATTAAAATAATTAAATTAGGCCCTAATCTGTGGATTTCACAAGACTGGGCAGTGGCGCAGCATAGGTCCACCCACTTGGGAGCCAGGCCCAGCCAATCAGAATGAGTTTTTCCCCACAAAAGAGCTTAATTACAGACAGAAATACTCCTCCGTTTCATCAGCTGTCCGGGTGGCTGGTCTCAGACGATCCCACAGGTAAAGAAGCCGGATGTAGAGGTCCTGGGCTAGCGTGGTTACACGTGGTCTGCGCTTGTGAGGCCGGTTGGACATACTGCCAAATTCTCTAAAAGCGATGTTGGAAGCAGCTTATGGTAGAGAAATGAACATTCAGTTCTCTGGCAACAGCTCTGGTGGACATTCCTGCAGTCAGCATGCCAATTGCACGCTCCCTCAAAACTTTAGACATTTGGGCATTGTGTTGTGTGACAAAACTGCACATTTTAGTGTGGCTTTTTATTGTCCCCAAGACAATGGGCACCTGTGTAATGATGATGCTGCTTAATCAGCTTCTAGATATGCCACACCTGTCAGGTGGATGGAGTATCTTGGCAAATTTGAGAGAAATAAGCTTTTTGTGCGTATGGAACATTTCTGGGATCTTTTATTTCAGGTCATGAAACATAGGACCAACACTTTACATGTTACGTTGATATTTTTGTTAAGTATATATATTTACAACTGTAACAATGGTAAATCTCCATTGAGGGGTGGGGGCAGGGTAAATGTCCCCAAAGGAATGTCCATAGGGGGAGCAGCAGGGGGGGAAGTGAGAAGTGAATGAATCCATAATAATAATATACACTATGTATACAAAAGTATATGGACACCCCTTCAAATTAGCAAATTCGGCTATTTCAGCCACACCTGTTGCTGACAGATGTGTAAAATCGAGCACACCGCCATGCAATCTCCATAGACAAACACTGGCAGTAGAATGGCCTTACTGAAGAGCTCAGTGACGTTCAACGTGGCACCGTTATAGGATGCCACCTTTCCAACAAGTCAGTTATGCAAATTTCTGCCCTGCTAGAGCTGCCCCAGTCAACTATAAGTGCTGTTATTGTGAAGTGGAAACGTCTAGGAGCAACAACGGCTCAGCCATGAAGTGGTAGGCTGCACAAGCTCACAGAACAGGACCGCCGAGTGCGGAAGCGCGTAGCGCATCAAAATTGTCTGTCCTCGGTTGCAACACTCACTACCGAGTTCCAAACTGCCTCTGGAAGCAACATCAGCACAATAACTGTTCGTAGGGAGCTTCATGAAATGGGTTTCCATGGCCGGGCAGCCACACACAAGCCTAAGATCACCGTGCACATTACCAAGCATTGGCTGGAGTGGTGTAAAGCTCGCCGCCATTGGACTCTGGAGCAGTGGAAACGCGTTCTCAGAAGTGATGAATCACGCTTCACCATCTGGCAGTCCGACGGACAAATCTGGGTTTGGCGAATGCTAGGAGAAGGCTACCTGCCCCAATGCATAGTGCCAACTGTTTGGTGGAGGAGGAATAATGGTCTCGGGCTGTTTTTCATGTTTTGGTCTAGGCCCCTTAGTTCCAGTGAAGGGAAATCTTAACGCTACAGAATACAATGACATCTAGATGATTCTGTGGTTCCATGTTTGGGGAAGGCCCTTTCTTGTTTCAGCATGACAATGCCCCTGTGCACAAAGCAAGGTCCATACAGAAATGGTTTGTTGAGATCGGTGTGGAAGAACTTGACTGGCCTGCACAGAGCCCTGACCTCAACCCCATTGAACACCTTTGGGGTGAATTGGAACGCCGACTGCATATTAATGCCCATGATTTTGGAATGAGCTGTTCGACGAGCAGGTGTCCACCTACTTTTGGTCATGTAGTGTATATACAGTGAGGGGAAAAAAGTATTTGATCCCCTGCTGATTTTGTACGTTTGCCCACTGACAAAGACATGATCAGTCTATAATTTTAATGGTAGGTTTATTTGAACAGTGAGAGACAGAATAACAACAAAAAAATCCAGAAAAACGCATGTCAAAAATGTTATAAATTGATTTGCATTTTAATGAGGGAAATAAGTATTTGACCCCACTGCAAAACATGACTTAGTACTTGGTGGCAAAACCCTTGTTGGCAATCACAGAGTTCAGACGTTTCTTGTAGTTGGCCACCAGGTTTGCACACATCTCAGGAGGGATTTTGTTCCACTCCTCTTTGCAGATCTTCTCCAAGTCATTAAGGTTTCGAGGCTGACGTTTGGCAACTCGAACCTTCAGCTCCCTCCACAGATTTTCTATGGGATTAAGGTCTGGAGACTGGCTAGGCCACTCCAGGACCTTAATGTGCTTATTCTTGAGCCACTCCTTTGTTGCCTTGGCTGTGTGTTTTGGGTCATTGTCATGCTGGAATACCCATCCACGACCCATTTTCAATGCCCTGGCTGGGGGAAGGAGGTTCTCACCCAAGATTTGACGGTACATGGCCCCGTCCATCAACCCTTTGATGCGGTGAAATTGTCCTGTCCCCTTAGCAGAAAAATACCCCCAAAGCATAATGTTTCCACCTCCATGTTTGATGGTGGGGATGGTGTTCTTGGGGTCATAGGCAGCATTCCTCCTCCTCCAAACACGGCGAGTTGAGATGATGCCAAAGAGCTCGATTTTGGTCTCATCTGACCACAACACTTTCACCCAGTTCTCCTCTGAATCATTCAGATGTTCATTGGCAAACTTCAGACGGCCCTGTATATGTGCTTTCTTGAGCAGGGGGATCTTGCGGGCGCTGCAGGATTTCAGTACTTCACGGCGTAGTGTGTTACCAATTGTTTTCTTGGTGACTATGGTCCCAGCTGCCTTGAGATCATTGACAAGATCCTCCCGTGTAGTTCTGGGCTGATTCCTCACCGTTCTCATGATCATTGCAACTCCATGAGATGAGATCTTGCATGGAGCCCCAGGCCGAGGGAGATTGACAGTTCTTTTGTGTTTCTTCCATTTGCGAATAATCGTACCAACTCTTGTCACCTTCTCACCAAGCTGCTTGACGATGGTCTTGTAGCCCATTCCAGCCTTGTGTAGGTCTACAATCTTGTCCCTTACATCCTTGGAGAGCTCTTTGGTCTTGGCCATGGTGGAGAGTTTGGAATCTGATGGATTGATTGCTTCTGTGGACAGGTGTCTTTTATACAGGTAACAAGCTGAGATTAGGAGCACTCCCTTTAAGAGTGTGCTCCTAATCTCAGCTCGTTACCTGTATAACAGACACCTAGGAGCCAGAAATCTTTCTGATTGAGAGGGGGTCAAATACTTATTTCCCTCACTGTACATATTTACAACTGTAACAATGATATATGTCCATTTGGGACAAATACCTCGTACTCCTCCACATTGATCTGGTACTGGTACTTCCTGTATATAGCTCCACATTGATCTGGTACTGGTACTCCCTGTATATAGCTCTATTCTTGTGTATTTTATTTTATTCCTCGTGTTACCATTTTATTATTTTGAAACTCTGCATCTTTGGGAAGGGCTCGTAAGCAAGCATTTCACGGTAAAGTCTACACCAGTTGTATTCAGCGTATGTGGACAAATAACATTTGATTTAATATGATTTGGATCACTAAGATACTCATTGTGGAGTTTAGCATCACTATGAAAACCTTGTTTAACCAGGGTTGAGTTTTAGTGGACATTTTTATTTTCCGCTGCTTTTTCTAGGCAAACGGATAAAATATTTATCTCACTTTTATACAGTATCTTGTAGAGGCACTGATGAAGCAGAACTACAGGTTGTGCACTGATCTTGCCTGAAATTGATCCATCAAAAGTTTCATGATTTGGAAGAGGGAAAGTACCAGCTGAGGCATGAATTTCTCCTGTTGATTCTTGGCTAAAGGACGATGCACTAATTATGTTGAGTGTTGTTACCTTCCTGACAAACCATAATATTTCAGATGGAGTGTTTTAGCCTCGTTTCCTCTCTGTCTGTCTGTCTGTCTGTCCCATTTCCTCATGCTGGGAGACGGATGCTCAGTGAAGTGGGTGAAGTGGTTTAAGTGATTGTAGCATGTAAATTGGGGAGTGGAAGCTAGCTATCTCACGATCGTGTTTGTGCCACAGTGTCATTGGTAGCTAGCTAGCTGAAAGGGTTTATCTGGCAACCCATTGGTGCCACTCTCAGTGTTTATCTCTGTCTGCAACTCTCTCCAACAGCCCAACCCAGCACCAGTTCTGACCCACATCCAGGCTCCAGCAGCGGAAAGGGTCTCCGTCCGTCTGAGGCAGCCCAGGGCAGCTGGTGCTGGGGTGGACCTGGGGTGGACCTGGAGTAGCTTGTCTCGTGGCTCGTCTCAGGCCGGCTTTGAGGAACTCAGCTGCCACCTCACCCACTCTGCATGTCTACAATTGACTGAGCTGCCAATGGGAAACTTGGGAAACGTTTGGTGTTTCTATGCATGTGCACAGAGAGGACTGTATATGTGTAGAGCTAGGATGAGCTAGCTATATCTGCTTAGAGCTACTGTAGGCCGTAACTGATACCTGCCTTGTCCTCTTGAGCAGTATACGTCAATGCTTCGTAACAAGTGACTGTTTTAGGCTTCTATTCACTTTGTGGCAAATCTCTTTAATGTTAATATCATCGTGTTGTGTAATGTTGTTTTCCGTCCCCCTAGGTACACGTCAGGGGATGTGAGGCTGTGGGACACCCTCCACTGGGACTCTGCAGCCTCCTTCCTGAGGCCCAGCCCCCCTTGACTGCAGACCTCACCCCCAGACCTCATGTCAGTCATGTCCGGTGTGGCTTCCTATGACGATGGTGAGTGGGGGTCTTCAACTCTCCAGTCAACTAAGTGGCTATTCCACTGGCTAGCCTTATCCTTCCAGTCTAGGACAGTGAAAAAGAGTGCCACCTGTTGGTCGGTGGTCTCTGAAAGAAGTGCTGGTTTCAATAGGTACAATCACCCTGGTGTCTATGTTCGAAGGTAATGACCAGCAGGAGACTGATGGACAGTTCACACTTTATTACCAAGTTCCATTAAGGAAGTTTTCACATTTGTAATTCGGTACCGTGGTGCAGTTCTCTGTAGCGTTTGTGGGAATTGTACAGAAAACGTTTTGCTTTCACAAGACTTGAAAATATCAGTTTCAGGGTGCGATTAGCAAGACACACATTCTACGTTAGCAAGCTAGCTTGTTTACAATGGGCAAAAGGTTCCACGTGACTCGTGCTGCCGCATCACAATACCTGGTACTCCGGTCCTGCTACTCATACAGGTCCAGGATTAGTTTCAGCCAGGGTCCGTTTGTGTTTCACACATGCTTTGCACTGTAGATCAGGGTACCAACCGCTCCAGGATCCGGGTCATACAGAAATGTGTGAAAACGCCCTAAAGTGTATGTACATGTGGATGGCCACACTGAGAAGTCTTTGGTTACAGGTTAACTGTGTATTCTGCTCCTGTGTAGGCTGTGTGGAGCACAGAGACAGGACAGGATCCCTGGGAGGGTCCACACCCTGGCTCTGAGCCTGGAGAGCCCCATCTTGGCTACTGCTGCTGGGCTAGACGTCCGGTTGGACCAGCCTGATGACGGGCTACTGGAGGATCCTCTGCCAGGCCATGCTGCCCAAACCTGTGAGTCTCTCTCTCAATTCAATTTCAATTCAAAGGGCTTTATTGGTATGGGAAACATATGATTACATTGTCTCTCTCTCTCTCTCTCTCTCTCTCTCTCTCTCTCTCTCTCTCTCTCTCTCTCTCTCTCTCTCCTCTCTCTCTCTCTCTCTGATTGGTCTGGAGAAGCACCATCAGCTTGATAATTTTAATTAGGTTTATGATAGAATCCCCTGATGCAATGATAGTGTGTCTACTTTGATCCAGTCTGCTGTTGTGATTTCTGATATTTTAATTCCTCTATCTGTCACAGTCAATCCATTATGTACCATATTAGTTCACTAACAGTGCAACTGGACTTTTCATATGTGAGGTACTTTAGACTTCTCACTCCATGTGACAGTAATCAGCAGGCTGAATACATTTATAACTTTCCTAACAGAGGCTCTGGTCACAGGTGGAGTCTATGGTCCTGGTGCCAGTGGCCCCCTGGTGGCCCTCTCTGCTGGGGAGACAGTGTACCTGCTGGCCCCTGAGGACCTGGAGCCCTGAGTGTACCACACCGTCTACCCCATCACCTGTCTGGACGCCTCGGTGACGCACGCTGCCCTGGGGGTCAAGAGCTGTGGCTGGGCCATTAACGATGGAGGCAACAAGGTGAAGCAACATTGAATTGATTACAGTCTTTTGACAGGGTCGTATTCATTAGGGCATTCATTGAAAATTAGGGTTTCTAATGAATGCAACCCAGGTGTTGTTTTTTCTCTACTGTACCTGGAGTTAGGAACAGGGTTACATTGAGGTAGTTATGCCAAAGCTATGCACAAAGCCAATACTGAAGCCCAAACCATTATTTTTCTGAGTGCTCAACACATTTGGACAGCTACAAATTGGCCAACCTTGAATGTTTTTTCTTTTTTACTGATATAACTATAGGGCTGAATTTAAGCACATGAACACACACACACACACACACACACACACACACACACACACATCCACACACATGCACACACACACACACGCACACACACACACATGCACACACACACACACATACATACGTACACGCGTACTAAACATGTTCAGTCTATTTCCCAAAGTATCTGCTGTTTGTATATACTGTATTAATGTGGTGTATCTAAGGACCCTGCTACTAACTTAGCCCTCTGCATATTACATAGCTGGGAAACAAAGTTTATGTGGCTTTCTTTCAAGCAAGACGCAACAGCGAAGGTACAATGGTGCGTACAGAGACCTCCACACACGTTGAGTTCTCCACAGCAGTGAAGTGAGCTGTAGCCTATTAGCTGTTAGTGTTTCTTTTAGGCCTAAAATTAATTTGTTCAAATGGGCAGAATATTATACTGTACAGTGCATTCTGAAAGTATTCAAACCCCTTGACTTTTTCCACTTTTTGTTACATTACAGCCTTATTCTAGAATGGATTAAATTGTTTTTTCCCCTCATCAATCTACACACAATACCCCATAATGATAAAGCAAAAACAGGTTTTAAGAAATGTTTGCTAATTAAAAAAATAAAATAAATAAAAAGGAAATATTATTCAGAACCTTTACTCAGCACTCTGTTGAAGCACCTTTGGCAGCGATTACAGCCTTGAGTCTTCTTGGGTATGATGCTACAATTTTGGCACACCTGTATTTGGGGAGTTTCTCCCATTCTTCTCTGCAGATCCTCTCAAGCTCGGTCAGGTTGGATGGGGAGCGTCGCTGCACAACTCTTTTCAGGTTTCTCCAGAGATGTTCGTTCAGGTTCAAGTCCAAGCTCTGGCTGGGCCACTGAAGGACATTCAGAGAATTGTCCTGAAGCCACTCCTGCGTTGTCTTGGCTGTGTGCTTAGGGTCGTTGTCCTGTTGGAAGGGTGAACCTTCGCCCACAGTCTGAGGTCCTGAGTGCTCTGTAGCAGGTTTTATCAAGGATCTCTCTGTACTTTGCTCCGTTCATCTTTCCCTCGATCCTGACTTGTCTCCCAGTCCCTGCCGCTGAAAAACATCCCCACAGCATGATGCTGCCACGACCATGCTTCACTGTAGGGATGGTATTGGCCAGGTGATGAGCAGTGCCTGGTTTCCTCCAGACGTGACGCTTGGCATTCAGGCCAAAGAGTTCAAACTTGGTTTCATCAGACCAGAGAATCTTGTTTCTCATGGTCTGAGAGTCCTTTAGGTGCCTTTTGGAAACTCCAAGTGGGCTGTCATGTGCCTTTTACTGAGGAGTAGCTTCCGTCTGGCCACTCTACCATAAAGGCCTGATTGGTGGAGTGCTGCAGAGATGGTGGTCCTTCTGGAAGGTTCTCCGATCTCCACAGAGGAACTCTGGAGCTCTGACCATCAGGTTCTTGGTCACCTCCCTGACCAAGGCCCGTCTCCCCCGATTGCTCAGTTTGGCTGGGCGGCCAGCTCTAGGAAGTCTTGGTGGTTCCAAACTTCTTCCATTTAAGAATGATGGAGGCCACTGTGTTCTTGGGGACATTCAATGCTGCAGACATGTTTTGGTACCCTTCCCCAGATCTGTGCCTTGACACAATACTGTCTCAGAGCTCTATGGACAATTCCTTCTACCTCATGGCTTGGTTTTTAATCTGACATACACTGTTATTTGTGAGACCTTATATAGACAAGTGTGTGCCTTTCCCAAATCATGTCCAATCAATTGAATTTACCACAGGTGGACTCCAATCAAGTTGTAGAAACATCTCAAGGATGATCAATGGAAATAGGATGCACCTGAGCTCAATTTCGAGTCTCATAGCAAAGGGTCTGAATACTTACGCTCCCAGTCAAAAGTTTGGACACACCTACTCATTCAAGGGTTTTTCTTTATTTTTACTCTTTTTTTATATTGTAGAATAATAGTGAAGACATAAAACTATGAATTAACACAAATGGAATCATGTAGTAAACAAAAAAGTGTTTTATATTTTATATTTGAGATTCTTCAAATAGCCACCCTTTGCCATGATGACAGCTTTGCACACTCTTGGTATTCTCTCAACCAGATTCATGAGGTAGTCACCTGGAATGCATTTCAATTAACAGGTGTGCCTTGTTAAATGTTAATTTGTGGAATTTCTTTCCTTCTTAATGCGTTTGAGCCAATCAGTTGTGTTGTGACAAGGTAGGGGGGGTATACAGAAGATAGCCCTATTTGGGTAAAAGACAAAGTCCATATTATGGCAAAAACAGCTTAAATAAGCAAAGAGAAACGACAGTCCATCATTACTTTAAGACAGGAAGGTCAGTCAATACGGAAAATGTCATGAACTTTTAAAGTTTCTTCAAGTGCAGTTGCAAACACCATCAAGTGCTATGATGAAACTGGCTCTCATGTGGACCGCCACAGGACTGGAAGACCCAGAGTAACTTCTGCTGCAGAGGATAAGTTCATTAGAGTTACCAGTCTCAGAAATTGCAGCCCAAATAAATGCTTCACAGAGTTCAAGTAACAGACACATCTCAACATCAACTGTTCAGAGGGGAATATGTGAATCAGGCCTTCATGGTCGAATTGCTGCAAATAAACCACTACTAAAGGACACCAATAAGAAGAAGAGACCTGCTTGGGCCAAGAAACACGAGCAATGGACATTAGACCAGTGGAAATGTGTCCTTTGGTCAGGAGTCCAAATGGGAGATTTTTGGTTCCAGGTGTGGGTGAACGGATGATCTCCGCATGTGTAGTTCCCACCGTAAAGCATGGAGGAGGAGGTGTTATGGTGTGGGGGTGCTTTGCTGGTGCTGGTGATTTATTTAGAATTCAAGGCACACTTAACCAGCATGGCTACCACAGCATTCTGCAGTGATACGCCATCCCATCTGGTTTGGGCTAAGTGGGACTATCATTTGTTTTTCAACAGGACAATGACCCAACACACCTCCAGGCTGTGTAAGGGCTATTTTACCAAGAAGGAGAGTGATGGAGTGCTGCATCAGATGACCTGGCCTCCACAATCCCCCGACCTCAACCCAATTGAGATGGTTTGGGATGACTTTTGAATGGTACTGTATGTAAATAAGGTATTTCAGTTTTTTTTATTTTTAATACATTTGCAAACTTTTCTAAAAACCTTTTTTTTTTGCTTTGTCATTGTTGGGTATTGTGTGTAGATAACATTTTAGAATAAGGCTGTAACGTAACAAAATGTGGAAAAAGTGAAGGGGTCTGAATACTTTCCGAATGCACTGTATATAGCATACAGAAATTCGATCAGTTATAGGCTACAGTTCAGATCTGGTAAAAGGCTGACATTTGGTCATTTCAATTAAGCTAAAAAAAATAGGTGAAACATGGACACCAAAATGTCTTTGTCGTGACATTTCATAACCTTAAAAGGATCCAAATTGGGCTTTAGTTGTAAATCGGTGTCATGCATTTCGGTGTGTTTCAAGACAAATATTTGCAAGATGTGGTTTTGTGACAAAAACCCTGTTTGAAAAACCGACTTAGTTAAACACCTCAGTCTGTCTTTCTCCTCTAAACGTTTAATGTTTTGTTTAGGCACAGATGCTGGTACTTAAGTAATTAGTCGAGTGACTAAGGACCGGTCCCAAATGGAGCCTCTCTCTGTTGGTTAGACAGGTCTTTGGCAGAGCTATCCCACTGACATCATTACAATGTTCTCATTCCTGATGATGTTATATTATCAGTAAAGCGCCACATAGTGGCCTGGGAGAAAGTTTGAGAGTGAACTTTATTTGATTCACCGCAGAGTGGAGGATGCAGAGCTACACGGGCCCCTGTAGCTCAGTTGGTAGAGCATAACGTTTGCAACGCCAGGGTTGTGGGTTTGATTCCCATGGGGGGCCAGTATGAAAATAAATAAAAATAAATGTATGCACTCACTAACTGTAAGTCACTCTGGATAAGAGCATCTGCTAAATGATTAAAATGTTAAATGTAAAATGTAAATAACTTTGCTGCAGTGCTTCCTCTCAAGGTTACAGCTAAAGGATTTTTAAAAAATCTTGTAGAATCAATTGAGATGTCATATAGCCTACCAGCTCCACAGGTCTTCAATCTGACTAGGCATACATTTTGATGTCTCACGTCCTGTCAAAAATACTGTCACTTAGGCCTATTTTTTTCATATGAAATATTCTAAGACAACGAACATTGAGTTTTCTTTTGTTTCCTTTCTCCACTAGCTAGCTCATCTTCTCTAGATAATGCCAATTCATGATTAGCACGTTTTCCCTTCACTAATTAAACTGAAGAATTACAACTTTTAATCAGCTTTAACAAGTCTATCGGTTTCATAGTGTTTCTGACATCATTTTCCTTCTGCGAAGAGGGAAGTAAGAATTGCCAACAGACTCTGCTGAGGCAGAATGTGTTATGTGTTATTTCATGAGAAGACATATGCCTAATTAAAAGCTGTGAAAAGAATGGAGGTGGCATCCAGACATTTTCACTCTCTCTCTTCACACCGAGGAGTTGAGTCATAACTAGGACTTGTTGCTTTTCCAGCTACATGTTTTAGAGGTATTATGACATGAATGGTCTTTGTAATGGATCCTGTCTGTCTGTCTGTCTGTGTCTCTCTCTCTCTCTGTCTGTGACTGTCTATCTGTGTCTGTCTCTCTCTCGGTGTCTGTCTGTGTCTGTCTGTCTGTGTGTGTCTCTCTCTCTGTCTGTGACTGTCTATCTGTGTCTGTCTCTCTCTCGGTGTCTGTCTGTCTGTCTGTCTGTCTGTCTGTCTGTCTGTCTGTCTGTCTGTGTCTGTCTGTCTGTGTGTGTCTCTCTGTCTGTCTGTCTGCTCCTGTGTACGGTATGTTGCTAAGTGTCTACAAGTCTCATGTATTTATCTGTCTTGTTCATGTCTTTGTTTATTGGCCTATCTCTCTGGTGCCTGTGAGAGTCGGCTAGAGTGAGCTAGTGAGTCAGTCTCCCTCACCTCTGGACCTGCACCCTCCTTCCCTTCCCCTCCCCACCCCAACTCCTCCCATCCCTCTCTCCCCTCCTCCGCCAGTGGACTTGGGGGGGTCTAGACATCTGCTCAGTGCTGTGCTGGACTCCTGTTACCCTTTACCCTGTTACCCTGTTACCCTGTACCCTGTTACCCTGTTACCCTGTTACCCTGTACCCTGTTACCCTGTACCCTGTTACCCTGTACCCTGTTACCCTATACCCTGTATCCTGTTACCCTGTACCCTGTACCCTGTTACCCTGTACCCGCCGCCCCCATAGGTTACACACAACACATCCATAACATAGATTTGTTCAGTGAAAAGTGTGGCATGTTCCGTTAGGATCAATTCGTCGTTTAGGATCAACGGTCTTGATTAACTTCTGACAGGTCTGAGTTGCTTTGAATGTTTATCTTCAAACTCTGTGAGTTTATATTGACTGTATTCATGTCAGTGTTTGTTCACATTGGATCTATAAGTCAGGTCTACATGTGCTTTAAAAGCATTAACCTACCTGACAGCTGAAAGTCAAGTGTAATAACAATGCAACATGAACTCAACAGACTGCATCATTTGACAATCGTTTAGTGACATTTGTCTTCATTTACTTAACAGAGGAACTCGTGAAGGCAGCGATTTAGGACAAATTATAGATTATTATTTTATTTTTGCTCAAACTATCTCTCCAGGAATCCAGCAGCCACATTAACACGATGACTCTGCTGTAGCCAAAGCCATGATGCCTTTCATCAAAGCATGCTGAGGTGCTCCCTAAACTGTTTCCATATTAGCGTCAAACTGTCTCTATGCTCGTTTTCACTGACAGCTCCTCCACATAATAGCTGGATTGGGCTGCTTTTTAATCAAATCCCCTCCCCCCAAACTGAGATGATTCATCGAAAAAAAGACAAGCAGACATCCCCCTCCTGGAAACTCTGGAAACTTCCTCTGATCACACAGCCCTTCCTCATCCAAAGAGGCAGCTCCCTCGATCCTTCCCTCTCTCCGCAGTCCCCCCATCTTTCCGAAAGTCGAGATAAGGAAAGAGAAGCGAAGAGAAGTCGCAGGTTTTGGGAATCTAGAATGTAAATCTAGAAGGTCTCTAAGTCCTCTCCTCTCTCTCCTCTCCTCTCAGCCATCTCCTCCTCTCTTCCTCTCGCTCCTCTCTCCATCCATCTCTCTCCTCTCCTCTCCTCCTCTCCTCTCCTCTCTTTCCACCTTTCTCCTCCTCTCCTATCCCCCTTCCCAAATCCCGTCAAGCTGTCATTTCAAAGTCCTGTGTGTGTGTTTGTTTGTATGTGTGTGAGTGTGTCCGGTGTTTGTGTGTGTGTGTGTGTGTGTGTGTGTGTGTGTGTGAGTGTGTCCTGTGTGCGATTTTGGCTTGCTCCGCTCGGGGCCAGCTCACATTAAGGCTGCCTGGCCCAAATAGGAGACACAAAACAGTTGGCATCTTCTCAAGCCTTACATCATGCTGCCTGCTCCCTCTCCCCGATCTCTCTCTTCTCTTCCCCCTCTCGCTCGCTCGCTCCCCCCTCTTCTCTTTTCTCTCATCCTTTGTTTAATGTCTTTATCTATCATTCCCCATTCTGTCTGAACGTTGGCTAGTTTGTTTAGTTTTGCTTTGAAAGAGAACAGCTCCAGCCACTAATTGACCAATTATAACAGCCAGATTACATCATTTAAATAACATTTGAAAAGGTTTTTGTTATGGAGCTGGAGGGAACACAATTAATAATTATCTTTGAATTAATATTGATATGCTTGTTGGTCAATTTCCTTCCTATCATATTCAAACCTTTTTGTTAATTAAGCTTTACAACACTGTATTCATAGCCCTTTTGTTAAGAAAATGTAGTGTTTATAATTACTGACAACCATTTTATTTCATTTAGATTCTGTTAATTTCCCTACATGTCAGCTGAAAACTGTAGTCCAGCATCTGTTACGAAGCATGGTCTGCTGCCTGCTTGTTAACAGCACAGAGATTCATTCCTGTGTAAAAGCGAGGCAATGGAAAGTGTTGTGATGAGTCTCGGAGCTCAGACAGACAGAGACAGTGTGTGTGTGTGTGTGTGTGTGTGTGTGTGAGACTAGAAATTTGTGAGGATCAACATCTGTCTTTACTGCTTTAGGTCTGATGCTGCTGCTAAATGTAGAGTACATCATGAGGACGTTTTACACTCTGCTCAATCTGCTCATATCCAGGTGTTCTCTAACTCCTGCTGCAGTGTTCAGGGATCAAATCAAAATCAAATCAAATCAAATGTTATTTGCCACATGCGCCAAATACAACAGGTGTAGACATTACCGTGAAATGCTTACTTACAGCCCTTAACCAATAATGCATTTATTTTTTAATAAAAAAAGTAACATAAAACAACAACAACAAAAAAGTGAGCAGAAGTAAAATAAAATAACAGTATGAATACATCTGTCTGTAGAAACAGCATCCATCACCAAATATCTATTTTTCTATGTGTTGCCTCTGTTTATATTCAGGTGCAGAATAATTTTTGCCCAAGTAGCCAGTGAAGGAGTCTAACTCTCTGTGTGTTATTGTGTTCAGATCCAGGTGTACAGCTTAGAAACAGGCCAGTCTGAGGTGGTTGTGGGAAACTCAGCAGGAGACTTCTCCTGTGTCAACCTGAGAGACAGCCCCCCTCACCTGATGGTGTGTGGAAACAAAGACGGGAGGTACGGGACCCAATGTGTCATTACACCTGCTGCGTGTACACACACAATGCCACACACACACACACACGCACTACTATGGTGTTAAAATCTGTCACACACACATTATTTTTGCCTGTCAGATTTTAGCACCACAGTAGTACCAGATTAGATCCAGTGGCTCCCTTGGGTACACCTGCTGGGCTCTAGTCAGAAACAAACCTATTTATCACAATACAATATTCCTCAACACACAATCACAATGGATTAAGAACATTGGAATGTGGAGGTACAAACAGAATACTTGCAGCCGGGAGGATCAGGTGTTTGGAAAATTGCAAAAAGAAAAGCAATTTTCTTCGCACCTTCGCTGGCAGAAATAAAACAGATTTTATAAGAGGGAGCTACGTGGGTCAGCGGAATGTTATCTGCAGCCTGGGGGTATTTGTGAGGGAGACAACGGGAGGCAGATGCTGGCAGCCTTCACACTGCTGTCCTGTAGTCTCGCCATTCAGACGCTAAAACACACACACATGCGCTGCATCTGCAACCTGGCTCTCCGAATGGGGGAAAGAAACAAACAAAAAAAGGCATTTTCATCTGCATTTGTCCCTGACAGCAGGGCAGGAGTTGGTAGGTAAAATAAAGAAAAAAGTATTGGCAGAATCCTTACCAATCAAACTCCTGCTATGGGTTTCCTACCAAATTCATCAGGCTTTAAGTAGACAGCCAAATGCAGACAAAGCCCAGGCAACTCTGTCTCATTGTGCATAGCCGGTCTTTTAAAGGTGGGAGCCCCAGCTCACCTGCAACAACAGCCAACTCCCCCTTAAGTAGCCTTGTATGTAGTCAGTCCCTCCCCCTTAAGTAGTCTTGTATGTAGTCAGACCCTCCCCCTTAAGTAGTATTGTATGTAGTCATTCCCTCCCCCTTAAATAGTATTGTATGTAGTCAGTCCCTCCCCCTTAAGTAGTCTTGAATGTAGTCAGTCCCTCCCCCTTAAGTAGTGTTGTATGTAGTGAGTCCCCCTTAAGTAGTCTTGTATGTAGACAATCCCTCACCCTTAAGTAGTCTTGTATGTAGTCAGACCCTCCCCCTTAAATAGTCTTGTATGTAGTCAATCCCTCCCCCTTAAGTAGTCTTGTATGTAGTCAGAACCTCCCCCTTAAGTAGTCTTGTATGTAGTCAATCCCTCCCCCTTAAGTAGTCTTGTATGTAGTCAGACCCTCCCCCTTAAGTAGTCTTGTATGTAGTCAATCCCTCCCCCTTAAGTACTGTTGTATGTAGTGAGTCCCTCCCCCTTAAGTAGTCTTGTATGTAGTCAATCCCTCCCCCTTAAGTAGTCTTGTATGTTGTCAGACCCTCCCCCTTAAATAGTATTTTATGTAGTCAATCCCTCCCCCTTAAGTAGTCATGTATGTAGTCAGATTCTCCCCCTTAAGTAGTCTTGTATGTAGTCGGTGTAATGAATACTCAGGGAGAAAAAGGTATAGATTCACGCGCAGAGCGCGGCAGGTGTTTATTTCACCTTCGCAGAAGGCAGGAATCATGGTCACAGGCAGGCAATGGTCATACACAGGTAGGTAAACAGGCAGGAGAAACAAAACTAGGACTGAAGGCTAAAACTTGTTCTCACAAACGAGCTAGGAAAAGGCTTAGTAGAATCAAAATGAACAATACCTCACAAGGCACAAACAGAAAGAACTGAACTAAATAAGGAGCTGATGAGAAACTAACACAGGTGAAATCAATGAACAAAAATGAAAGACAGGGCTATGTTCAAGTTCTGAGCATATTCGGTCCAGGCCATATACCGACTCCAGTCGTGTGGAGAGGCAGAACATTGTTGGCCGAGGCACTTTCCTATTTCTTGGTTCAGGAGAGGCTGAGGGCGACCCCCAGTCGGTCACAGAAGGCTCGCCACACCCGGGAGACAAACTGGGGCCCGCGGTCAGAGACGATGTCCTCTGGAATCCCATACAGACGGAACACCTGTTGGAACATACACTCAGCCAATTCCATGGCGTTAGGTAAATGAGGAAGAGGAACCAGACGACACATTTTTGAAAAATGGTCTACTATGACAAGGATGGTGGTGTTACCAGAGGATTCTGGAAGGTCTGTGATGAAGTCAACAGCTATGTGGGACCAGGGTCTGTGAGGGATTGACAAAGGTTGAAGCTTACTGGAAGGGAGATGACGAGGGCTTTTGGTTTGGGCGCAGACTGGACAGGAGAGTACGTAATCCCTGACGTTGGATGCCAGTGAGGACCACCAGAATTTACGTGCTAGAAGTTCGGTGGTTCTTGTAATGCCCGGATGTCCTGACCCCAAGGACGTGTGACACCATTGCATCAGTTGGGGTCTAACAGCTGCTGGTACGTAACTCTTCCCTGCTGGGGTCTCAGAAGGAGCCGGGTCTAAGGTTAGGGCTTCTTGTATGGCACAGTGAACCTCCCACTGTACCGGTCCCATAATGCAAGAGGAAGGAAGAATGGGTGTAGGGTCTGAGTTACTGGTCGGAAGGTCAAACTGGTGGGAGAGAGCATCAGCTTTTACGTTTTTCTTTCCAGGGATGTATGTAACATGAAAATGGAAGCATGTGAAGAAGAGAGCCCAGCGGGCTTGTCTGGAGTTTAACATCTTGGCCCCTCTGATATATTCCAGATTATGATGATCTGTTAGGACGAGAAAAGGGATGTTGTGCGCCCTCCAACCAGTGGCGCCACTCCTCGAGGGCCAACTTGATGGTGAGGAGTTCTCTGTTCACCACACCGTAATTCCTCTCAGCGGGGGATAACTTCCTGGAGAAGAAGGTACAAGGATGTGATTTTGGAGGTGTTCCCACCCACTGAGAGAGTATGGCTCCTACTCCTACTTCGGAGGCATCCACCTCCAGGGTGGAAGGAACGGTCGGATCAGGTTGGCGAAGGACAGGAGCTGAGGTAAAGAGGCGTTTCAAGGTGTTGAAAGCAGTCAGGGCGGTATCAGTCCATTGAAGGGTCCGGGTATTTTGGCTGGTAAGGGCAGTGAGGGGAGCGGCAGTAGAACTGAAGTTCCGAATGAACCGGCGATAGAAGTTGGAGAACCCAATGAAACATTGGAGTTCATTAACGGTGGTGGGTTTGGGCCAGTTACTGACAGCGGTGACTTTGTTCTCATCCATGCTGACCCCTCCAGGTGTCAGTACGAAACCGAGGAAGTTTACTGAGGTTACATGGAAGGTGCTCTTTTCAGTCTTCACATAAAGGTTATGGTCAAGGAGCCATTGAAGAACCCTTTGTACATGCTGTATGTGTTCCTTCAGGGAGTGGGAGTAAATCAGGATGTCATCAATGTAGACGATGAGAAAGCGGTTGATCATATCCTGGAAAACCTCGTTCCTAAAGGATTGGAAGACGGCGGGGGCGTTAGTAAGGCCGTAGGGCATGACCGGGTATTCGTGGTGCCCTCGTGCGGTGATAAAGGCCGTCTTCCATTCGTCGCCTTCACGTATATGGACAAGGTTATAAGCACTCCGCAGGTAGAGTTTTGTATAGATGTTGGCGTGGCCCACTTGTTCAAGGGTCGCTGGGATCAGAGGAAGAGGGAAACGGTTCTTGACCGTAACATCATTCAGGGAACGGTAATCAATACATGGACGAAGACCACCGTCCTTTTTTTCCAACGAAGAAGAAGCTGGACGTAGCTGGGGAAGAAGAAGGACGAATTAAACCGTTTTCGAGTACTTCATCAATGGAGTTCTCCATTGCCTCATTTTCCAGGATAGATGGGGGGTAAACACGGCCCTTCGGTAGGGACACTCCAGGGAGTAAGTCAATAGCACAGTCCCCTGGGCGATGTGGTGGCAGAGTGGAGGCCTTGATTTTGCTGAAGACATGGCTGTACAGGGCGTATTCAGATGGTATGGTGGGTGGCACTGCAGAGGCAGAGTCCTCAATGGTGGTGGCTCTGCAAGGTAGGCTGAAACAACTGGTGAAGCAAGTAGAAGACCAGGACAGTAGTTCACCTTGTCGCCACGAGATGGCAGGGTCGTGACGACAAAGCCAGGGGTGTCCGAGGATGAGTGGCTGTTTGGGGGATGAGAGTTCCATGAGTTGAATGGTTTCAGTGTTGAAGACTCCAATCTGGAGGTTAACGCTCTGTGTCAGGTGTGTATGAAGCCCGTGCCCAATGGTTGCCCGTCCAGGGTGTTAATCCTTAAGGGAGGGTGACAGGTGTAAGATCAATGTCAAGCTCTTGTACTAGCTGGTGATCGATGAAACTACCTGCTGCTCCCGAATCTATCAAGCCCGCTATGTACTTCGTTAACCCCCTTCACGGTTATCAATACTGGGATGGAGAATTGCTTCTGGGAGATATTTAGACATTCGGACCCGCCTACCTGCATGGCAGCGGAGGGACCCTTCTCATCCCTCCGTGGGGGGCGAACAGGCAATGGCTGAGTAGATGATCTTCCCCTCCACAGTATAGGCAGAGCCCTTCTTGGATCCGACTTTGATGTTCGATACACGGGAGAGGAGCATGACCCAACTGCATGGGCTCTGGAAGACTCGGACAGGATGACAGAATCATGGAAAGAGAAGGTTTTGGGTTCCTGGGCGGCAGAGTTCTTCGGCAGTCGGCGATGAGTTGGTCGATGGAGATGGACATACGAATGTATTGATTTAAATCCTGAAGGTCACCTCTACAGGCCAGCTCCGCCTGAAGTTCCCTGTTGAGCCCTCTTCGGTAGACAGTAAGTAAAGCAGCCTCACTCCATCCACTCCCTGCAGCCATGGTGCGGAACTCGAGGGCATACTTGGCAGCTGAATTGCGTCCTTGTTGAAGGTCTATTAGGAGGTCCCCGATAGGACGAACGGAAGGAGAGTGATCGAATACCTCTTTGAAGAGGGTGTGGAAATGGGTCTCGGATCTGAGTTCTGTGCTTTTGGCAGTCCATATGGCAGTGGCCCAATCCAGGGCTTTGCCTGTGAGTAGAGACACAACAAAATCCACCCTGCTCTTGTCGGTGGCAAAGTTAGTGGGGTTGTGCTCTACGTATTTGCTGCATTGCATCAGAAATCCCTGAAATTTCCCAGGTGAACCGTCATATTTTCCAGGCATGGATATGAATGAAGGAGGGCTATGGGTTACGATACCTGGCATCGGAGGAGTAGGGATAGGCTGGCGGAGAAGATGGCCGATTACCTCCATACGCTCCTCTTGCCGGGTTAGGCGCCACTGTAGCTCCGCTGAATCCATTCCGTTTTTGGTGAGGTATTCTGTAATTAATACTCAGAGAGAAAAAGGTATAGATTCACGGGCAGAGCGCGGCAGGTGTTTATTACACCTTCGCAGAAGGCAGGAATCGTGGTCACAGGCAGGCAATGGTCATACACAGGTAGGCAAACAGGCAGGAGAAACAAAACTAGGACTGAAAGTTAAAACTGGTTCTCACAAACGAGCTATGAAAAGCCTTAGTAGAATCAAAATGAACAATACCTCACAAGGCACAAACAGAAAGAACTGAACTAATTAAGGAGCTGATGAGACCAGGAGAGTAACTAACACAGGTGAAATCAATAAACAAAAATGAAAGACAGGGCTATGTTCAAGAACACAAAGAAACAGGGCTACGTTACATTTACATTTACATTTTAGTCATTTAGCAGACGCTCTTATCCAGAGCGACTTACAGGAGCAATTAGGGTTAAGTGCCTTGCTCAAGGGCACATTAACGTCATTTAGCAGACGCTCTTAGCCAGAGCGACTCGCAAATTGGTGCGTTCACCCTATAGCCAGTGGGATAACCACTTTACAATTTGGGGGGGGGGGGGTTAGAAGGAACACTTTATCCTATCCCAGGTATTCCTTAAAGAGGTGGGGTTTCAAATGTCTCCGGAAGGTGGTGAGTGACTCCGCTGTCCTGGCGTCGTGAGGGAGCTTGTTCCACCATTGGGGTGCCAGAGCAGCGAACAGTTTTGACTGGGCTGAGCGGGAGCTATGCTTCCGCAGAGGAAGGGGAGCCAGCAGGCCAGAGGTGGATGAACGCAATGCCCTCGTTTGGGTGTAGGGACTGATCAGAGCCTGAAGGTACAGAGGTGCCGTTCCCCTCACTGCTCCATAGGCAAGCACCATGGTCTTGTAGCGGATGCGAGCTTCAACTGGAAGCCAGTGGAGTGTGCGGAGGAGGGGGGTGACGTGAGAGAACTTGGGAAGGTTGAACACCAGACGGGCTGCGGCATTCTGGATGAGTTGTAGGGGTTTAATGGCACAGGCAGGGAGGCCAGCCAACAGCGAGTTGCAGTAGTCCAGACGGGAGATGACAAGTGCAAGAACACAAGGTGAACTAAGAAAATAAATACAGAACCTTACAGTCCCTCTAATGTAGTAGTCTTGTATGTAGTCAGTCTCTCTGATGTAGTAGTCTTGTATGTAGTCAGTCTCTCTGATGTAGTAGTCTTGTATGTAGTCAGTCTCTCTGATGTAGTAGTCTTGTATGTAGTCAGTCTCTCTGATGTAGTAGTCTTGTATGTAGTCAGTCTCTCTGATGTAGTAGTCTTGTATGTAGTCAGTCTCTCTGATGTAGTAGTCTTGTATGTAGTCAGTCTCTTGATGTAGTAGTCTTGTATGTAGTCAGTCTCTGATGTAGTAGTCTTGTATGTAGTCAGTCTCTGATGTAGTAGTCTAGTATGTATTCAGTCAACTTGGTTGTGACAGTTTGGCCCCTGTCTGATGTGCTGTGGGGGACTAGGGGCAGGAGTCTGCTCTGGCTGTCCGTCAGGGTGGCCAAAGGCCAGGGCCTAATGCACATCTTCTTCCTCTCCATCTCCCTTCTCCTCCTCTCTAAATTGGTTGCTCTCTCACTCTTTTTCTGGAGTTTCCAGGGAGCAAACGAGGGTCCTGATTAGACCGGGGCTGTCTGGAATACTGCCCAGGCATCGTCTGAACAAACAGGAAGGATTGTGGGGGGGCGGGAGAGAGATGGGGACAGAGAGAGAGAGAGCCATGGTCGTGCCCAGTGGTCCTGTGCCAGTAGGAAATATCAAACCACAACCCTAAAACAAAGAAAAATATCCTGTGCTTTGTCTCCTCTAGTAGGCTTTCTGTTTCATGGCAGTCTGTTAAAATGTTCAATAGTCTAGTTTTCAACTTACCTTTAATGACCTCAACTGATGTTAAGATAACATGTTACAGTATTTGAGTGTCCACGGTACGATGATGTAATCCCAATCTGGTTTGTACAGCTCCACTCTCACATTGCTGTGTCTTCTAGTAGAAAACAAGGATCATGATGATTGATGTGTAGTAGCGTGTTCACTGGCAGCTCAGGGAAGACAGGGGCACAGTCCAAACAGACTGCCGGACAGTAACTTTTAATCCCCTTTGCTAAATCGCCCATGAAACAACACCACTCAGCAGCCACGACCACGGTTGCATCTCAAATGGCACCCTATTCCCTACATAGTGCACTACTTTTCACCAGGGCCCATAGTGCTCTGAACAAAAGTAGTGTACTAGGTAGGGAATAGGGTGCCTGTTGGGACAAAGCCCATGTCTCGCCATATGTCTTAGTTACAACACTAATGCCCATTTAGCTATGCAACCCTGATTCATTTAATTTCTTGAAGCGGAAATTTAATCTGTTCACCCCCCAAATAAATTAGATTTGGTGTATGAACTTTTGGAAAGCTTTTAGCATGGACTCATCCTCTGGCTGCTGCTGGGGACCCAATAAACTAAAGCAGTGATGAACAGATGGAGCTGAGGTCCATGGGGCATGTGTGGCTCGTCAAACCAGACCCAAGAATCCTCCTCTTAGTTGTATTAATGTTACAGCACTGCCATAATGTGTCCCAAATGGCACCCTATTCCCTATATAGTGCACTACTTTTAACCAGGCCCCATATGGCTCTGGTCAAAAGAAGTGCACTATATAGGGAATAGGGTGCCATTTGGGACCGATATCATGTTTAATCAGTTCAAAACACCTCGATTTTTGTAGCTTTGAGTGAATTAGTGTTATTGGTGCCTAAAGTAATTAAATGTTTGTTTATAAGAGGGCTAAAGCAGATTAAAACCCCTCAATGCCACCTGCTGTTACTGTTTCTACCTGTCTTTGTTGATGTGATCTTCTCTGATCATCTCTTACTGTTCTCTGTTGTTTCTCTCTGTAATGTATTGTTCTGAGGCACAACAGTTGCTCTGGTAACCTAATATGTAGCCTGAGTGCCAGTCTGTTTGTGCTGTAACGCCAACTCCTTATCACTCATCACCATGGCTTGACATTGACAGCAATAGAAGTGGGAAGACCACACCCCGATCTGGGTCCAGGCTAGAAAAAGATGCATCCTTTCATATCTTTAGTAGTTCACCGAATCAAGTATCTTTGTCTGATCTACTTCCTGTATCATCACTTCCTGTGATGAAATGACAACTTCCTCTCGCTGTGTTCCGTTTCAGGGTGAGGGTGTTTGACCTGCGCACCGGCTCCTCTGTGACATCACTGTACGCCCACCACATGGGCGTGACCTCCGTGCAGGCAGACGATTGGAAGATTGTGAGCGGCAGAGGCGAGGGATTGGTCTGCGTCTGGGAGATGAGGATGGGAGCCAAACTGTGGTATTTGCAACAGGTGGGACAAGAGAGTTCTTTCTCTTGGTTGTTTAGTGTGGATCTGTTGATCTGTTGATACATCTATTTATTAGTGCCACAAAAGGCAGGTAGAGTACTGACATATGCTATTCTGGACTTATTCATATACTCATTTACAGTTGAAATCGGAAGTTTACATATACCGTAGCCAAATACATTTAAACTCAGTTTTTCACAATTCCTGACATTTAATCCTAGTAAAAATTCGCTGTCTTAGGTCAGTTAGGATCACCACTTTATTTTATGAATGTGAAATGTCAAAATAATAGTAGAGAGAATGATTTATTTCAGGTTTTATTTCTTTCATCACATTCCCAGTGGGTCAGAAGTTTACATACACTCAATTAGTATTTTGTAGCATTGCCTTTAAATTGTTTAACTTGAGTCAAACGTTTTGGGTAGCCTTCCACAAGGTGAATTTTGGCCCATTCCTCCTGACAGAGCTGGTGTAACTGAGTCAGGTTTGTAGGCCTCCTTGCTCGCACACGCTTTTTCAGTTCTGCCCACAAATATTCTATAGGATTGAGGTCAGGGCTTTGTGATGGCCACTCCAATACCTTGACTTTGTTGTCCTTAAGCCATTTTGCCACAACTTTGGAAGTATGCTTGGGGTCATTGTCCATTTGGAAGACCCATTTGCGACCAAGCTTTAACTTCCTGACTGATGTCTTGAGATGTTGCTTCAATATATCCACATAATTTTCCTTCCTCATGATGCCATCTATTTTGTGAAGTGCACCAGTTCCTCCTGCAGCAAAGCACCCCCACAGCATGATGCTGCCACCCCCATGCTTCATATTTGGGATGGTGTTCTTCGGCTTGCAACACCCCCTTTTTCCTCCAAACATAACAATGGTCATTATGGCCAAACAGTTTTATTTTTGTTTCTTCAGACCAGAGGACATTTCTCCAAAAAGTACGATCTTTGTCCCCATGTGCAGTTGCAAACCGTAGTCTGGCTTTTTTATGGCGGTTTTGGAGCAGTGGCTTCTTCCTTGCTGAGCGGCCTTTCAGGTTATGTCGATATAGGACTTGTTTTACTGTGGATATAGATAATTTTGTACCTGTTTCCTCCAGCATCTTCACAAGGTCCTTTGCTGCTGTTCTGGGATTGATTTGCACGTTTCGCACCAAAGTACGTTAATCTCCAGGAGACAGAACGCGTCTCCTTCCTGAGCGGTATGACGGCTGCATGGTCCCATGGTGTTTATACTTGCATACTATTGTTTGCACAGATGAACGTGGTACCTTCAGGCATTTGGAAATTGCTCTCAAGAATGAACCAGACTTGTGGAGGTCTACAATTTTCTTTTTGAGGTCTTGGCTGATTTCTTTTGATTTTCCCATGATGTCAAGCAAAGAGGCACTGAGTTTGAAGGTAGGCCTTGAAATACATCCACAGGTTAGTGTTAGGGTTATCCTCCGATTGACTCAAATGATGTAAATTAGCCTATCAGAAGCTTCTAAAGCCATGACATCATTTTCTGGAATTTTCTAAGCTGTTTAAAGGCACAGTAAACTTCTGACCCACTGTTAAATAAGTTAAATAATCTGTTTGTAAACAATTGTTGGAAAAATTACTTGTGTCATGCACAAAGTAGATGTCCTAACCGACTTGCCAAAACTATAGTTTGTTAACAAGAAATTTGTAGAGTGGTTGAAAAACAAGTTTTAATGACTCCAACCTAAGTGTATGTAAACTTCCGACTTCAACTGTATGTGTCCTGTGGTTCCTGTCACTTGTATGCATTGCTAAAATATTCAGCATTATTCAACATTGACTTATCAGGCTGACATTGGCAGCAAACCAACAGGTGCATCAGTATTGATTGATCAATTCTCAGCTCCTTATTGAATGGGTTTGGGTTTGTGTGTGTTGTTTGTGTTTGATGGTTAATCATAAAAAATGGCGTTCGTTGTTTCTCCTTCCTGTCTGTTTGCAGGCACCCAGTCAGACATGTCCGGTTCAACACTAGCTCCCTGGTGACCGCCAACATCCCAGACGAGAAGTCTTCACGATGGGGCCTGCATCACAGACCACGACCTCACAGCCCACCACAGGTGACTGATAGCACACAGCCCCTCCCTCACCCCTCTAACACAGACTCCGGCTAAGACTGTAAACCCTGAAGGCTGTTTGATGCTAATGCTATTCACTCTGCTTCTAGGCTCTTCCTCAGGCTGTCCTATCCTAACACAGACCCACAAGAAAATACTGCTCATACTTATAAGCTTTGGGCTTAGCACACCTCTTCTTTATTCTACAGAGGACATTATACAGAGAGTAGGGACTCATTCTCTCTGTCCACATTAGACACAGGGGGAGTGATCTGCCTCTATGACTCCCTCCCAGGACCACGTTCTGCCCATCTGCAGGTCTCACTACGTAGTGTCATCTGGTTCCCTAGGACATCCTGTCTGGCTCTCACCCTTCCTACTGACCCACTTACCCAGTCTACAACCAGGAATTTATAGAATGGTTGTGGGCCTATGGACAATCTACAGTATGTGATGTGTGTGTGACTGCATGGTTCTAATAGCCTGGTTAAAGCAGACTGAACGCTGTGCTCACCATTGTTTTCATTAGTGTTCAGTCTGGTTTAACCAGGCTATGGGGTCTGCACAAATCAAACCAGCTTTTATAAATCTGTTTGATTTTCCAAACTGAATTTAATTTTGAATTTTGTTTGTAAAGGTAGCTGTCTGTATTACATTTTTTTTTAGGTGAGTGCTGTAAGTCTCCCTTCGAAGGCCATAGCAGAGGACAGTGTCCAGTGTTTCAATTGGAAATGCACAGATATAATAAAGCTTGGTGAAGTAGATGAGTCCCAAGTGTAATCTCTAGCCCTGTAGGAATGCACTGTGCCCCATGTTTCAGGCTCTGAATGTGAGCCAGAATAAAAGTGAGGCATTAACCCTAGATGCCAACTCTGATCCTCAGAAGTGATCCACATAGCAGGTTGTGTGAACCTCTAGGCATTCAAAATGTCAGTACTGTAAACATAACATTGACATGAGAGAGAGAGGAGGGGGGTATGAAGGGGAGGGGGTTGAAGGGAAGTATAGAGATGAGCGGGTATGAAGGGAGGATGGGGGTATAAGGGAAGGAGGGGGTATGAAGGGAGAGGGGGTATGAAGGGAGAGGGTATGAAGGAGGGTGTATGAAGGGAGAGAGGGGGTATGAAGAGGGAGGAGAAGGGTATGAAGGGATGAGAGGAGGGGGTATGAAGGGAGGAGGGGGTAGAAGGAGGAGGGTATGAAGGGAGGAGGGGGTATGAAGGGAGAGAGGGGGGGTATGAAGGGAGGAGGGGGGTATGAAGGGAGGAGGGGGTTGAAGGGAGGAGGGGTATGAAGGGGGTATGAAGGGGGGGGGTATGAAGGGAGGAGGGGGGTATGAAGGGAGGAGGGGGGGTATGAAGGGGGGTATGAGGGGGGGGGTATGAAGGGAGGAGGGGGGTATGAAGGGGGAGGTGGGGGGTATGAAGGGAGGAGGGGGTTGGGTAGGAGGGTTGAGGAGGAGGGGGGTATGAAGGGGGGGGGGTATGAAGGGAGGAGGGGGGTTATGAAGGGAGGAGGGGGTATGAAGGGAGGAGGGGTTATGAAGGGAGGAGGGGGGTATGAAGGGAGGAGGGGGGTATGAAGGGAGGAGGGGGTAGGAAGGGAGAGGGGGTAGGAAGGGAGAAGTGGGGTATGAAGGGAGAAGGGGGGTATGAAGGGAGAAGGGGGTATGAAGGGATGAGGGGGGTATATGTAGGCAATATTGTGCATTTACATGTCATGTATCACAATGTATTATTCGGATAATCATTTCCCATGAATCATTGAAAGTATGAAAACATTAGTGCATATGAATGGTATTTAAACATTAGTGCATATGAAAGTATTTGGCTTCATTACAGAGGATGACCAGAGAGATTCATTCTACAAAAACAGCAGTGCCATAACGATGTCTCTTAAAGGAGACCGAGACTCATTTTGATTTTCCACATCTCAAGGTTGCAGTGTCCATGTTTAAAAAGCGAACGTGCATCCTCGTCTCAATATCAAAGGTTTTTAGAATCTGAGGGGAGAAAAGGAATATAAGACTGATATGGCAGTATAAAGTATAAAGTATACAGTATATAAAGTATATAAAGTATATATTATAAAGTATACAGTATACAGTATATAAAGTATACCGTATATAAAGTATACCGTATATAAAGTATACAGTATAAAGTATACAGTATATAAAGTATACAGTATTTAAAGTATACCATCTATAAAGTATACAGTATAAAGTATAGCAGAATTTAAAGACACCAAATGTCACTGTTTTAATAGCTTGCGTTTGCATAACTCACAGTGAAATGGCATTTCCTTTTTTTTTTGTAACATTAGCCAATTTGAGTATCTTGTGAAATACACAGTAACACCATACCTGTAGAAAATGTTCAAAAGTGATTCCTTCATAGAATTCATCAGGTTCCTGAAAAACAAAGTAACCCAATTTAAGCAATAAGGCATACTTGTGTGCTGTCACGAATAACACATGGCTAAGGGCTGTTCTTAGGCACGACACCAAGCAGTACACAGTAGAACAGTACTTTGCACTTCAAAATAAGGTGTGGTTCACTAATGAATCATGCTATCAACATATCTTACTCATATACCTACTTCATTACCTATTTGATCTGTAGTACAATAAAGGTGTGTTAGTGATAAACATCATTACCATTTTGCCCCTTGTAGTGCCTGCCACTTCCAGCATGGCAGCGTCTGCGATGGCCTTGGCGGTCTCCTGCCCGATCATGCCAGCCTTAGATAGGAGCTCCTCCACCACCTAGACAGAAAACAGCACAACGGTCAATAAAACATTTTAGTGATTTATTTGGTTTTCTTGAATTTCTGATGTACACACAATTCAGCTTTAAAGCTGCCATTGGAATAAACTCAATTTATACTAAAAACATCAATGATAAACCGCCCTTCACAAAGCGTCCTCAGGATAGGAATGCTGACAGGATCAGTTTAGCCTTTTATATCCTAATGTAAAAGATTACTACATGGACAGGGGGAACCTGATGCTAGATCAACACTACTTCTATGAGATGCTCTGGGGGAATTCCGACCCGAGTTAAGAGCGTAAATGGAAATTCCCTTTGATGCTCTTTTCTCTCCAGGAGTATTCTGTCCTTGAACTTAAGCATGAGAATAGCATGCTACTCATCCTGCTATTTCTTTCAGGTGGATGTCAAAGAAATGAAGGTTTGGCTGAGGTGTCTACAGATACACCCTATTCTGACCTTGACTTCATTCCCTCAGAATTCCACCACCTTTTACGTGCGATGAAACTGTGAATAAGGTCGAGTAACCTGTCGGTTCCAAGTGGAACAACATCTACTTTCTTTTTTCTGATAGAAATAACACCATTCTCCATGCACTGTAATTTACAGATTGATAAGAGCTATTGATAAGAGCTAGGTAAATGAGTAAGCCGTAACGACTGGACCGTTGTCATGACAGTTCCATGATTAGTGAGGATTATTAGGATAGATCTATAGGACTACTGTTCAACCCCTATTGTACATTGTTCTCACCTTCCAATATTTCATGGATTGAACAATTGAATATGGCAACTTTCAGGATGAATCAAACCACTGTGTTTTTTATTTTATTCATAAATACTTTCCTAACCCTAAATAATATACAAGATCAGAGTATTTTTTTTAAATCTACCAATTGGTGCTGAAAAGGAGACAAATATGTTTGTATTTACATATCTTTCTTTAATTGATCTCTTATATTCTGAACCATTCTCGCCATATATTCTAGTGAGTCTGTCGAGAAAATTCAAATTAAAAGGTAGGCCTACACCAAATTTAAAGGGATGACTTTAGATAAATGTAATGAAAAACCTATTGAATGAAAACTCCACAAGAAAATCTGTTGGCCAGCAAGTGGGAGGGTTTTCAGCGCGCCAAGGGAACCACGCCTGCAAAGCCCGCTACGCACCTGCATAAGGTGAATACCAACTACTGAGAAGTGTCTAGGAAAGGCGTACATTTCCTAAGTCTGAATCGGGCCCTTTGTGAATACAGGCCCTGGGCCTGGAGGACTATGGTGAGGAGAGAGTAGTAAAGGGAGGCCTTACCCGTCTGTACTCCTCCAGGGTGATGGTGCCGTCGCTGTCTGTGTCATGCATGTTGAACAGAACTGAACAGACACAGTAAAGAGGAATAAGCTAAATAGTTTTTTTACCAAATATTTTATCCCCAAAGGTAGTGTAACTTAAGGGTCTCTACTATCGTTGTTCAGGGGAAGGATATGACTAAAGCAAGGAGGAAGTAATGAATGATTAGAAAAATGTTTGGCTCTCTGAGATGCAGCTATGATTATGAGGAGCAAGACAGACTGACTGGTTCACTTTAGGCCCTATTTAGATTCTAGACAAGAGTATGATTACTGAACTGAAACGTTGTTAGGATTCTATCTAGGCTTGAAGAATAGCCCTTAGAATAGCAACGCAGAATCTGGTATTAGCCAAGGCATTAGCCCAGGGTACTAACACAAGTCTTAGACAAGGTTACTTTACTCATGACCAAACCAAACTCACATTGTAGTTTCTCCCTCCTCAGGTTCTCCCTCTCCTCCTCTGTTATGCCCATGGCTGCTGGGCGGAAGTGAGACATCACCATGAGGAACTCCTCAAAGCCAATCTCCTGGACTGTTCCTGCCTCATTCTGATGGAGGTTTCTGTATCAGGTACACAGAGAGGCATTTACCAGGTTAAACCAGGCCTACCAGTGAGGGCAGGGTTCAGTTTGGTTTAACCAAACCACTAGAGAGGCATAGAGTTACAGTTACATGGCAATTCACTGAGACTGCCATGCGCTGAACATGCTTCAAGACTAAAGCCTTGACAGCATCACTGATTACTTCATGAACAAAACTGTTGTCTATGTGTAATAACTTGGTTATAACAGTTAATGGCAGTAAAGATGCATTGCATGAGTGATTTCAATATTTTCAATATTGCACTTTGACTCACCTTTTATCAAAGAAGGCATTAATAATTTGAGCCCGGATTGGATTGTTATCTAGAGCAGGGATGCTGGCCAAATCCTCTCGACTGCAGAAGAAACATGACATGACAATACGTTAGTAACAAGTCAACAACAAAACATAAAACATGACATGACAGTACGTTAGTAACAAGTCAATAACAAAACATGACAATACATTAGTAACAAGTCAACAACAAAACATAAAACATGACATGACAGTACGTTAGTAACAAGTCAATAACAAAACATGACAATACATTAGTAACAAGTCAACAACAAAACATGACAATACATTAGTAACAAGTCAACAACAAAACAGAAAACATGACATAATAGTTATTTACCTATATTAATCAAAGTTAAAGGGCGTCTTTTTTCTAAAGGTCAAGGTTATTGTTCTGTCAACACATATTATATAAATGCAGTACAGTAATAAATATCAAAATAAATACTTGTATACTCCCTGTTTCTTTTTAAAGGGAAGGCATGTGCAATCTATCACCGTGTCACTATGCAAGGCAACCTGCCAATGATGAGTGATTGTGTGTGTGTGTGTGTCTATATGTGTGTGGCCATAACATAAATACCCACAATACAACACATTCAAAAGGACTTAGCAGGCACTATTTTAGGCCTAGGTTCAATCAGATCATGCGTTAACTGGCGATAGCCGACACCCGCGTAGCTGATGTTTGTGAAGGTGTCGGAGGTGGAACTACTGAGCAGCTGCTCTTGTTCATTGTCACGAAGCCACACCCATCCCACTAATGTTAGAAGTTCAGAGCGAGAAAGTGTAGACTATATAGAAATAATGACGCTCAAATTTAAAATCATTAAAGAAAATGATGAGGATTTCTATCAGCCTAATCGAGGTGTAGATTCGAACTTGTAAACAAGGCTGATTTTTCTTAATGCGACTCCGTGCAGGCAGGTGTACATATGTATATAGGTGGGAGCACATGCATTGTCAAGGTCTCCATTCTTACTGTTAAACTTAAGTTTACCACTTACCAAATATACATTTCTTTAGCATGTCATGTATGAGGGTGTTGGTGACTGTATGAGGGTGTTGGTGGACTGTATGAGGGTGTTGGTGGACTGTATGAGGGTGTTGGTGGACTGTATGAGGGTGTTGGTGACTGTATGAGGGTGTTGGTGGACTGTATGAGGGTGTTGGTGGACTGTATAAGGGTGTTGGTGGACTGTATGATGGCGTTGGTGGACTGTATGATGGCGTTGGTGGACTGTATAAGGGTGTTGGTGGACTGTATTAGGGTGTTGGTGGACTGTATGAGGGTGTTGGTGGACTGTATAGGGTGTTGGTGGACTGTATGATGGTGTTGGTGGACTGTATGAGGGTGTTGGTGGACTGTATGAGGTTGGTCCTGTATAGGGTGTGGTGGACTGTATGAGGGTGTTGGTGGACTGTATGAGGGTGTTGGTGGACTGTATGAGGGTGTTGGTGGACTGTATGAGGGTGTTGGTGGACTGTATGAGGGTGTTGGTGGACTGTATGAGGGTGTTGGTGGACTGTATGAGGGTGTTGGTGGACTGTATGATGGCGTTGGTGGACTGTATGAGGGCGTTGGTGGACTGTATGATGGCGTTGGTGGACTGTATGAGGGCGTTGGTGACAATACCTTAGTGTCTCCTCATTGTTACTCAGCTGTCTGAATCTCTTGTTGAGGTTGCCAATCTGCTCCAGGGAAACTGAAATAAAACAATCACAGTGGTTTAGAGGAGCAGATTAGCATTTGCAATTTAACAGTAGTGAGCAATTTAAGACTTAAGACTTCAAGTCCTAATAACTTGAGAGTATTCTATTTCCAGATACACCACCCTCCTAGACTGGTTGGAAATCTTTGCACATAATTTATTTTTCATTCTTTCCCTCTGGATTCTATCGGTTGTGAAATGCAAAACATGTCAATGAACTGTAGCAAACAGGTACAAAACAGATAAACCTGTTCAGAACTGTGACAACAATGGGCTTACGACACAATCAGCCTGATGATAAAAAAACACAATCAGCCTGACGGAAAAACAAACACACTGGTGTGATTATATTTGCATTCAAAGGGAACTTTGAATTATTGACTTCTGTGTGGGGAATTGTTTTCACATGAGCATTTGAATGTTTTGGTTGCTAGATACAGTTATAGAACCACAGTTTGTGTTTATTTTAAAGGAGGAACTTGCTTTGCCCTCAGTGCCTGTTAAGAGCACATACCCACATGGGTATTTACAGGAACAACAACTACTCTAGGTGAATGTGCTTCAGTAACCACAGAACAATAGCCTACCACAAACTAGACTTTGCACAGGCAGGTGTACAGATTTATGTAGGTGGCGGTGCATGCATTGTCAAGGTCTCCATTCCCACTTTACACACATGGTAATAAACTTAAGTTGAAATACCTCCGTACCACTTACCAAATAGAAGTTTCTTTAGCATCGCAGGTTGAGTAAACTGACACTCCATAACCAACAAGCTTTACTTATTAAACTCTCTACACACTAGCTGTTTTGTCTTATTGAACAGTTTTGTTTTATTGTCTCTTCTGACAATCACAGTCATCCCGTTTATGAAAGCAGCCAGCTGATAAGATGAACAGATCAATGTTCCAAACACCTTGCAACTGCTTCAAACCTGTGTGTCATGCAGCATTAGAGTAATTAAGTGTAAATCATCCACTTTTTATACTTTGAAGGGAAGGAAAACTTATCACTTCCAAAAATAGTGTGATATTTGTTTGACTGTCAATTAATTTTTTAATACATAATTGACAGTGTAATATTGAAATCACAAATGATAATTGTCTTATTTTCACTATAAATTTAAAACATCAGACTATAGAGTAAGCTGTAGACAACATATTTGTATTTGTATTTATTATGGATCCTGGGGTCCAGCAAAAGTAAGGCAGTTATACATTTTAAAACATTAGAATACATTCATAACAGATTTCACAATGGTTCCATGCAAGATATTATGGAACCATATTGGCAAGTGGCATGCCATTCTATACAACTGGCTCATTAAACAGTTTTCCTTCTGTCCTTACCTACCACCTTCTAATCAGATTTCCAATGGAATGACAGAAGGACAATCCAAGTATTGTCTATTCATGTGAAAACAGTTGGAATACAGCATCTTATGTTGTGCTCTCCAGAAGACTGACTAGAAGACTGACCACAAAGTAATGTGATTATGCAATTCATAATTCCAGTTTAAAATATGAAATGATGAGGCACTTCTAGATATGCTACACTATATATACAAAAGCATGTGGATACCCCTTCAAATTAGTGGATTTGGCTACTTCAGCCACACCCTTTGCTGACAGGTGTATGAAATTGAGCACACAGGCATGCAATCTCCATAGACAAACATTGGCAGTAGAATGGCCTTACTGAAGAGGTCAGTGACTTTCAACGTGGCACCGTCATAGGATGCCACCTTTCCAACAAGTCAGTTCGTAACATTTGTGCCCTGCTAGAGCTGCCCCGGTCAACTGTAAGTGCTGTTATTGTGAAGTGGAAACGTCTAGGAGCAACAACGGCTCAGCCGCGAAGTGGTAGGCCACACAAGCTCACAGAACGGGATCGCCAGGTGCTGAAGTGCGTAGCGTGTACAAATTGTCTGTCCTCGGTTGCAACGCTCACTACCGAGCTCCAAACTGCCTCTGGAACCAACTTCAGCACAATAACTGATTGTCGGGAGCTTCATGAAATGAGTTTCCATGGCCAAGCAGCCGCACACAAGCTTAAGATCACCATGCGCAATGCCAAGTGTCGGCTGGAGTGGTGTAAAGCTCTCCACCATTGGACTCTGGAACAGTGGAAACGCGTTCTCTGGAGTGATGAATCACACTTCACCTTCTGGCAATGGTTTGGCGGATGCCAGGAAAACGCTACCTGCCCCAATGCATAGTGCCAACTGTAAAGTTTGGTGCAGGAGGAATAATGATCTGGGGCTGTTTTTCATGGTTTGGGCTAGGCCCCTTAGTTCCAGTGAAGGAAAATCTTAATGCTACAGCATACAATTACATTCTAGACGATTCTGTGCTTCCAACTTTGTGGCAATAGTTTGGGGAAGGCCCTTTCCTGTTTCAGCATGACAATGCCCCTGTGCACAAAGCGAGGTCCATACAGAAATTGTTTTTCAAGATCGATGTAGAAGACCTTGACTGGACTGCACAGAGCCCTGACCTCAACCCAATCGAACACCTTTGGGATGAATTGGAACGCTGACTGCGAACCAGGCCTAATTGCCCAACATCAGTGCCCGACCTCACTAATGCTCTTGTAGCTGAATGGAAGCAAGTATCCGCAGCAATGTTCCAAAATCTAGTGGCTGTTATAGCAGCAAAGGGGGACCAACTCCATATTAATGCCCATGATTTTGGAATGAGATGTTCGACGAGCAGGTGTCCACATACTTTTGGTTGTGTAGTGTATTTGTCCATTCATCGAAGTATAGGCTATTTATTAATTAATTATTAAGAGTTATTTTGCATTTGATTATAATCACATAGAAACTGAAATAAAACCGTCGTTTGAGTATAATATAGCCCAGGCTACTTACATCCAGTTCGGTCAGCCAGCTCTTGGAACTCATGTTCAGTGCCCGCAGACTGCGAGGCTCCCATTGCGGTTATTCTCAAAAGAGCGACAAGGGCGCATTGAAGTTATTTCAGGATCGCACGATCTTAACCGCAGGTGAAACTACTTCAGTTGTGCAGACCTTTTGCGCGCGTACTGTAGTGTCCTCGCTAGTAGTAACTCGTTCCTCTGCTTTCATAAGGAAGTTAGTAACATGCACTCTTTATTATGGTCTATTTGGAGAGACGCTGTGCTGAGTTCCCCAAGGTCCTAAAACAGCGTACCATTGTGGACGAATCGATTTTTTACAGAAGTCAATTCAGAATGAATCGACTGTGTCAAATGAATTACTGATAAAAACGTGGTGTATCCTAGTCATTAATAGCTTTGTGTGTAGTGAAAATGCATTGTCATTGATTATAATGTTACAGTATGTTTGGAATTTGCCCTTATCTTAAAAAAATATATACCTACTATAATTTCAAGTCTGAGTACATTCCGGAAGAAATAATATAACAAAAACTGCTGTAGTCCTATTGTGGTGGAGAAATCAGAATTAGCTAAGTAACATAGATAATTAACATGTCTTATCTGCAGAATATGCTTATATGATTGAACTGTTGAACTCTTGTTATTAGAATGTCTCCTTTCGGACCCTGGTGTGGGCAGCTGCACTTTCTCCCTTAAATGGGCTTCAGTCACCTGGGGCCCAGAGAGGGGAGAGGTCAGGCTTGTCTATCACATGTCCTTGTTGCTATGCAGAATATCAGAAAGAGAATAGGCCAAAGGAGGTCAGAAGGAAACATTGTTTCCATATGTGAATATGTGTCTTTACCTATTGCAAACCATGTGAAGGGATGGCATGAGGAATGGGAACCAATCACTTTGCTCCACAATGTCTGTGTGTCAGTCGCCCCCTCCTTTGGCCTTGGAAGATTGTCCTCTTCCCTGGTTCCCTTTTTGCAAGGTGGAAACTAACAACAAATGTCCTCCCCCCCCCCCCCCCCCCAAAAAAAAAGAATCCCACTGGCTATAGGGTGAATGCACCAATTTGTAAGTCGCTCTGGATAAGAGCGTCTGCTAAATGACGTAAATGTAATGTAAATGTTCTAAATTCATAGTACTGAACAAAACAAGTTGTTTGTATTTGGGGCTAAGGTCTGGCACAGGATGTGTGGGGTTAGTGTCTGGAACCATTGTATGTTATCTCTGAGGTTGCACCTATCGTGAGATAGTATATAACCCAGAGGCTCACTCCACTCAGTGTGCATGTTGTGACGGCTCCCTTATTAATAAGCACAATAAAGATTTTTGCAAGTATAACCTAATTGGTGGTTGGTTCTGGCTCTCCTCATTTGTTAGTGTTGTGGCTATTCTAATTGATGTAATACCACAGTAAAGAAAGACCAAAAGACACATTGAAACATTTTTATTTTATTCATTTTCCTCAAGTCTCACAACCCATTCCTGTTTCAAGTCATTGTATTCCTGCAATGTTTTACTTGTAAATATACAGAAAAAAATATAACACGTTCTAGAAATGTGAAAGCCATCCTTTCATAAGTGCATGAATCATTATTATAATGTAATGACAGAGGGAGGAGATACTGTAACATTCATTTTCATATTGTTTCATACTGTAAAGTTCATTTTCATATTGTTTCATACTGTAAAGTTCATTTTCATATTGTTTCATACTGTAAAGTTCATTTTCATACTGTAAAGTTCATTTTCATATTGTTTCATACTGTAAAGTTCATTTTCATATTGTTTCATGTGGAAGTGGAGAGGGATAGAGGGCCTAGGGAGTCAAGTCTGGGAAGACCTCTTCTGGACTGATGGTGGAGAAAGTAGATTGAGGTGGAGAGAGAGCGAGAGAGAGAGTAAGGGTGTCGAGCTCAGGAAGTCTTCATGAAGTTAGAGAGAGAAAAGGGGCTTTGGCTTGGACTGGTGTTGGTTGGCAGGTGGTGGTACGGCACATGATCCAGGTACTGAAGCATTCCTGGGCCAGTATTCAAAATAAAGCTTCTCAGAGTAGGAGTGCTGATCTAGGATGAGTTTTGCCCTTAAGATCATAGTGAATAAGATAATATGGACAGGGGGAGGACCTGATCGTAGATCAGCACTTCCTACTCAGACTGTGAATACGGACGGCCCTGATGGTTTTGGGGACGGGATGTTGTGTCAAGTAATGGAACTGGAGGGGGAAGAGAGGAGGGCCCTGTCCAGAAACAACCCCTAGACCCTAGTAGTAGCTCCACCCTGCCCTATGATAGGCTAGTAGTAGCTCCACCCTGCCACACGATAGGCTAGTAGCACCCTTAGCGGCATTTGCAGAACGTTTTCAGGGAAACAGTATTTTCAACCTAACTTCCATTTCCCCTGAAAAACGGAAGTGGGGACTCCGCTCAGGCATCTTTCTACGCCTGCTACGTTAGGTTAGGCTACTAGTAGCTACAATCTGCCCTATGCTAGGCTAGTGGTAGCTCTACCCTGCCCTATGATAGGCTAGTGGTAGCTCTACCCTGCCCTGTGATAGGCTAGTGGTAGCTCTACCCTGCCCTGTGATAGGCTAGTGGTAGCTCTACCCTGCCCTGTGATAGGCTAGTTGTAATTCTGCCATATTGTTTATACACATCCAATCCTTTCAGATCTACCTGTGCCTGCCTAGGTGGTAGGAACTAGGGGTTGTTTTGGATGGGGCCGAGGAGTAGTGGAGGCTTAGCTATATGGACATGGCGTCCTGGTTCTCCTGGCTGTCCTGGCTCTTCTGGTCCTGGGAGGGGCCGTTGGGGCTCTCCTGTTGCCCTGAGGCATGCCCTGAGCTGGGCATCAGTCTGTGGTAGAGGTCCCGTACGGTGCCCAGGGTCTCTGACATGTCCTCTGGGTAGCGTGTCTGCAGCTCCTCGTTGGCAACATAGTGGCTGTCATGGAACTCTGAGAAGTAGCGTCCCACCTCCGGGTGAGCGATCTCCAGAGGGGCGGAATGAGGCTCCAGATTTTCTGGGAGACGAGAAAAAGAGGCGTAAAGATACTATATATTTTTTTTTAAACAGTACGGTATCATGTAACAAGAAACAGGAAATCTCAAACTGAGCAGAGGCAAGTTACTGTACAAGAAAGCTGCATATTCTGTGTACATTTGAAAGTTTATAGGCCTACACCTCAGCAGACAGGGATACTACTCATCCAGCATGTACAGTGGGGTAAAAAAGTATTTAGTCAGCCACCAATTGTGCAAGTTCTCCCACTTAAAAAGATGAGAGAGGCCTGTAATTTTCATCATAGGTACACGTCAACTATGACAGACAAAATGAGATAAAAATATCAAAAAAATCACATTGTAGGATTTTTAATGAATTTATTTGCAAATTATGGTGGAAAATAAGTATTTGGTCAGTAACAAAAGTTTCTCAATACTTTGTTATATACCCTTTGTTGGCAATGACACAGGTCAAACGTTTTCTGTAAGTCTTCACAAGGTTTTCACACACTGTTGCTGGTATTTTGGCCCATTCCTCCATGCAGATCTCCTCTAGAGCAGTGATGTTTTGGGGCTGTCGCTGGGCAACATGGACTTTCAACTCCCTCCAAAGATTTTCTATGGGGTTGAGATCTGGAGACTGGCTAGGCCACTCCAGGACCTTGAAATGCTTCTTACGAAGCCACTCCTTCGTTGCCCGGGCGGTGTGTTTGGGATCATTGTCATGCTGAAAGACCCAGCCACGTTTCATCTTCAATGCCCTTGCTGATGGAAGGAGGTTTTCACTCAAAATCTCACGATACATGGCCCCATTCATTCTTTCCTTTACACGGATCAGTCGTCCTGGTCCCTTTGCAGAAAAAACAGCCCCAAAGCATGATGTTTCCACCCCCATGCTTCACAGTAGGTATGGTGTTCTTTGGATGCAACTCAGCATTCTTTGTCCTCCAAACACGATGAGTTGAGTTTTTACCAAAAAGTTATATTTTGGTTTCATCTGACCATATGACATTCTCCCAATACTCTTCTGGATCCTCCAAATGCACTCTAGCAAACTTCAGACGGGCCTGGACATGTACTGGCTTAAGCAGGGGGACACGTCTGGCACTGCAGGATTTGAGTCCCTGGCGGCGTAGTGTGTTACTGATGGTAGGCTTTGTTATTTTGGTCCCAGCTCTCTGCAGGTCATTCACTAGGTCCCCCCGTGTGGTTCTGGGATTTTTGCTCACCGTTCTTGTGATCATTTTGACCCCACGGGGTGAGATCTTGCGTGGAGCCCCAGATCGAGGGAGATTATCAGTGGTCTTGTATGTCTTCCATTTCCTAATAATTGCTCCCACAGTTGATTTCTTCAAACCAAGCTGCTTACCTATTGCAGATTCAGTCTTCCCAGCCTGGTGCAGGTCTACAATTTTGTTTCTGGTGTCCTTTGACAGCTCTTTGGTCTTGGCCATAGTGGAGTTTGGAGTGTGACTGTTTGAGGTTGTGGACAGGTGTCTTTTATACTGATAACAAGTTCAAACAGGTGCCATTAATACAGGTAACGAGTGGAGGACAGAGGAGCCTCTTAAAGAAGAAGTTACAGGTCTGTGAGAGCCAGAAATCTTGCTTGTTTGTAGGTGACCAAATACTTATTTTCCACCATAATTTGCAAATAAATTTATAAAAAATCCTACAATGTGATTTTCTGGATTTTTTCTCTCCAATTTGTCTGTCATAGTTGACGTGTACCTATGATGAAAATTACAGGCCTCTCTCATCTTTTTAAGTGGGAGAACTTGCACAATTGGTGGCTGACTAAATACTTTTTTTCCCCACTGTATAACTCTTCAATAAGCATTTCAAGTATTACATTTGTCATGTTTCTTATCAGATCGCCTCCTTAACAAAACGACCACTGCCCTGACATATTGAGAATGTCTTTCAGTGACATGTACAGTATGTTAGTCTGTCTGGTATAGATGTACCCTGGGCAGCGTATCGGCAGGTGCCGTCCTCCACTAAGACGTTGTAGAAGGGCTGGTTAGCCCCGCTGGACAGCTGGTGGACCCTCATGGTGGTGATCCACTCCTGGCTCATGGTGCACTTGGGGTCCCAGCCATAGATCGCACAGTTATAGCCAGACCTGGTGTCAGAGATGGAGATGAGGTACAGTGTCACACATGGGGAAAGGGCACACTACAGGTTTACAAATCATAATGATTATAATACAAATTATTATTTCATAAATAGTTATTCTGCCATTCATCAGAATACAGTAGAGTTTTACATTGACAGTGTTATTCAGCAGTAGAGGATTACAACTTTACCTACAAAGAGGGTGGTGGAGGACAAACAACTGATTCAGGGATGGATGGAGGGATAAACCGATGGAAAGATCAAGGGATTGATAGACAGGAAGGATTAATAGACGGAATAGATAGACAGACAGGCAGGCAGGCAGACTGCTCAGACAGGCAGGCAGACAGGCAGACTGCTCAGACAGGCAGGCAGGCAGAGACTGCTCGGACAGGCAGGCAGGCAGAGACTGCTCGGACAGGCAGGCAGGCAGACAGACAGACAGACTGCTCGGACAGGCAGACAGACAGACTGCTCAGACAGGCAGGCAGGCAGACAGACTGCTCGGACAAGCAGGCAGGCAGACTGCTCGGACAAGCAGGCAGGCAGACAGACTGCTCGGACAGGCAGGCAGGCAGACAGAGACTGCTTGGACAGGCAGGCAGGCAGACAGAGACTGCTCGGACAGGCAGACAGATTTCTCAGGCAGGCAGACAGATTGCTCAGGCAGGCAGGCAGATTGCTCGGACAGACAGGCAGGCAGACAGAGACTGCTCGGACAGGCAGGCAGACAGACTGCTCGGACAGGCAGGCAGGCAGACAGACAGACTGCTCGGACAGGCAGGCAGGCAGGCAGGCAGACTGCTCGGACAGGCAGGCAGACAGACTGCTCGGACAGGCAGGCAGACTGCTCGGACAGGCAGGCAGACTGCTCGGACAGGCAGGCAGACTGCTCGGACAGGCAGGCAGACTGCTCGGACAGGCAGGCAGACTGCTCGGACAGGCAGACAGACTGCTCAGACCCACCTCTTGTGTTTCATGATGAGGCCTACACTGTATTGCAGCTCTAGGTGTTCGGGGGTGCTGCGTCTCTTCACCTCTGGCTCTACAGGGTGTTTCTTGTGCTGGATGTGCTCCAGGGTGTGCTGCACCAGATAACCCACTGCCCCGTGTTGGGACGGGTCTAACGCCTGGATGTGCTGCAGGATGTCGAGGACCTGGAAGAGGCAGGAGAGGGGTGAGACATCAAGCAGACACCAGTCATTATCAGTTGGGGAAAGCTTGTCCTCTACTCTGTACCGTAGTAAGCAGGTAGAGGCAGGTAAACGGTTAGAGCGTTGGGCCAGTAACCGAAAGGTCGCTAGTTTGAATACCTGAGCCGACGAGGTGAGAAATCTGTTGATGTGCCCTTGAGCAAGGCACTTAACCCTTATTTGCTCCAGGGGCGCCGTACTACTATTGCTGACCCTGTAACACAACACAATTCACTACCCCTATCCGGTGTGTGACAATAAAACGTTTAAAAAAAGAGGAGGCAGAACAATAGCCAAATGACACAAGCCAAATTAATGTTTTTAACAACAATCTGCAGTATCAAAGCCAGGATAAAGCCATTTGGTCCACTTACAGTGGGGAAAAAAGTATTTAGTCAGCCACCAATTGTGCATGTTCTCCCACTTAAAAAGATGAGAGAGGCCTGTAATTTTCATCATAGGTACACGTCAACTATGACAGACAAAATGAGGAAAAAAAATCCAGAAAATCACATTGTAGGATTTTTTATGAATTTATTTGCAAATTATGGTGGAAAATAAGTATTTGGTCAATAACAAAAGTTTCTCAATACTTTGTTATATACCCTTTGTTGGCAATGACACAGGTAAAACGTTTTATGTAAGTCTTCACAAGGTTTTCACACACTGTTGCTGGTATTTTGGCCCATTCCTCCATGCAGATCTCCTCTAGAGCAGTGATGTTTTGGGGCTGTCGCTGGGCAACACGGACTTTCAACTCCCTCCAAAGATTTTCTATGGGGTTGAGATCTGGAGACTAGCTAGGCCACTCCAGGACCTTGAAATGCTTCTTACGAAGCCACTCCTTCGTTGCCCGGGCGGTGTGTTTGGGATCATTGTCATGCTGAAAGACCCAGCCACGTTTCATCTTCAATGCCCTTGCTGATGGAAGGAGGTTTTCACTCAAAATCTCACGATACATGGCCCCATTCATTCTTTCCTTTACACGGATCAGTCGTCCTGGTCCCTTTGCAGAAAAACAGCCCCAAAGCATGATGTTTCCACCCCCATGCTTCACAGTAGGTATGGTGTTCTTTGGATGCAACTCAGCATTATTTGTCCTCCAAACACGATGAGTTGAGTTTTTACCCAAAATTTATATTTTGGTTTCATCTGACCATATGACATTCTCCCAATGATCTTCTGGATCATCCAAATGCACTCTAGCAAACTTCAGACGGGCCTGGACATGTACTGCCTTAAGCAGGGGGAAACGTCTTGCACTGCAGGATTTGAGTCCCTAGCGGCGTAGTGTGTTACTGATGGTAGGCTTTGTTACTTTGGTCCCAGCTCTCTGCAGGTCATTCACTAGGTCCCCCCGTGTGGCTCTGGGATATTTGCTCACCGTTCTTGTGATCATTTTGACCCCACGGGGTGAGATCTTGCGTGGAGCCCCAGATCGAGGGAGATTATCAGTGGTCTTGTATGTCTTCCATTTCCTAATAATTGCTCCCACAGTTGATTTCTTCAAACCAAGCTGCTTACCTATTGCAGATTCAGTCTTCCCAGCCTGGTGCAGGTCTACAATTTTGTTTCTGGTGTCCTTTGACAGCTCTTTGGTCTTGGCCATAGTGGAGTTTGGAGTGTGACTGTTTGATGTTGTGGACAGGTGTCTTTTATACTGATAACAAGTTCAAACAGGTGCCATTCATACAGGTAACGAGTGGAGGACAGAGGAGCCTCTTAAAGAAGAAGTTACAGGTCTGTGAGAGCCAGAAATCTTGCTTGTTTGTAGGTGACCAAATACTTATTTTCCACCATAATTTGCAAATAAATTCATTAAAAATCCTACAATGTGATTTTCTGGAAAAAAAAATCTCAATTTGTCTGTCATAGTTGACGTGTACCTATGATGAAAATTACAGGCCTCTCTCATCTTTTTAAGTGGGAGAACTTGCACAATTGGTGGCTGACTAAATACTTTTTTTCCCCACTGTACATGTACACTACATTATTTCAGTTTCTATGTGATTATAATCAAATGCAAAATAACTCATAATTAATAAATAAATAGCCTATACTTCGATGAATGGACAAATACACTATATGACCAAAAGTATGTGGACACCTGCTCGTCGAACATCTCATTCCAAAATCACGAGCATTAATATGGAGTTGGTCCCCCCTTTGCTGCTATAACAGCCTCCACTCTTCTGGGAAGGCTTTCCACTAGATGTTGGAACAATGCGGTCCTCTGTAGCTCAATTGGTAGTGCATGGCGCTTGTAACACCAGGGTAGTGGGTTCGATCCCCGGGACCACCCATACGTAAAAATGTATGCACACATGACTGTAAGTTGCTTTGGATAAAAGCGCCTGCTAAATGGCATATTATATTATTTAATTATAATGCTGCGGGGACTTGCTTCCATTCAGCCACAAGAGCATTAGTGAGGTCGGGCACTGATGTTGGTCGATTAGGCCTGGCTCGCAGTCAGAGTTCCAATTCATCCCAAAAGTGTTTGATGGGGTTGAGGTCAGGGCTCTGTGCAGGCCAGTCAAGTTCTTCCACACCGATCTCAAAAAACAATTTCTGTATGGACCTTGCTTTGTGCACGGGGGCATTGTCATGCTGAAACAGGAAAGGGCCTTCCCCAAACTGTTGCCACAAAGTCGGAAGCACAGAATTGTCTAGAATGTAATTGTATGCTGTAGCGTTACGATTTCCCTTCACTGGAATTAAGGGGCCTAGCCCGAACCATGAAAAACAGACCCAGACCATTATTCCTCATCCACCAAACTTTACAGTTGCCGTTATGCATTGGGGCAGGTAGCGTTCTCCTGGAATCCGCCAAACCCAGATTCCTCTGTCGGACTGCCAGATGGTGAAGCGTGATTTATCACTCCAGAGAATGCATTTCCACTGCTGCAGAGTCCAATGGCGGCGAGCTTTACACCACTCCAGCCGACGCTTGGCATTGCGCATGGTGATCTTAGGCTTGTGGTGGCTGCTCGGCCATGGAAACCCATTTCATGAAGCTTCCGAAGAACAGTTGCAACCGACGACAGACGACTTTTACGCGCTTCAGCACTCAGCAGTCCCGTTCTGTGAGCTTGTGTGGCCCAAAACTTTGCTGCTTAGCCGTTGTTGCTCCTAGATGTTTTTCCGCTTTACAATAACATCACTTACAGTTGACCGGGGCAGCTCTAGCAAGGCAGAAATTTGACGAATTGACTTGTTGGAAAGGTGGCATCCTATGACGGTGCCACGTTGAACGTCACTGAGCTCTTCAGTAAGGCCATTCTACTGCCAATGTTTGTCTATGGAGATTGCATGGCTGCGTGCTCGATTTTACACATCTGTCAGCAACAGGTGTGGCTGAAATAGCCGAATCCACTAATATGAAGAGGTGTCCACCTACTTTTTGGCCATGTAGTGTATTTGGGTTTCGTGTGGCTCAGTTGGTAGAGCATGGCTCTTGCAACGCCAGGGTTGCGGGTTCGATTCCCACGGGGGAGTCGCTCTGGATAAGAGCGTCTGCTAAATGACTAAATGTAAATATGCCATGTTGAGATATCATGCTAACCTTCTCAGGCCAGATGCCCAGGTGGAAGTAGAGTCTGGCCTGTAGTAGAAGGTATTGGACGTTGTCTGGGTTGATGGTGAGGTAGAGATCCAGAGAGTCTCTCAGCAGCTGGTAGGATTTCTCATTGCCCTCCCTGCAAGACATAGCACAGTGATACACAGTGTTGTTTCATACCACAAATATGACAGTTGGTGACAGTTGAGTGTAGGAATGTATTTTTTACCAACTCTAACCCTAACATTACCTCAAGGATGAGATCCTGAGGACAACATAGAAAATCAGGAAAAAAGAAACATTTGGATTGATTCAATTCCATGATGTACGGTTAGAGATTTTCTGATGTCAGAAAAGCAGAAATTATTTATTAGTCAGGGGAAAAAAAGCACATCCTATGTCCATAAGTCTTACCCTCGTTTGCCGATGTTGAGCAGATTCCCCACCATCCTTAGCAGCACTTCTGTTGTACTGATGGCATTGTAGTAGTCTGCAGTCACCTGGTGACCGATGAGGTACTCACACTCCTTAGCCGTCAGCTGCTTGCCTTTACCGAAGGCGTCAATGTACACAAAATCATAGATGTCCCCATTCCTGAAATGAGACATGAAGCTTTATCAATACAAGTACAAACATGTTACTTTGACGCGATTTCTGGTGTGCAATGCAGACAATGCTACATTGGGTATATTGAAACCCAGCAATTTTGAGAGAGCAATACTGAATTTCACCCAATCATGAACTAGTTCAAAACTAAAAGTTGAACTATCCCTTCAAGATCAATGAATTTTATGATTGATTGTCACTATGCACTACAACTATACCAGTGGATGAAAAACGTCTAGTCTTTGGTCATTAAAGAAGCATTTGCCTTCCATTCACTTCCTTTCACACTTTGGCCCCTTACCCTCTTTGTTGCTGGCACCAGCGAAGCAGGAAGTGATTGGGGAAGTTAACAGGCTCCAGTTGAACCCCCAGTTTCCTGGCCAGCGTCATGTAGAGGACAGAGAGGCTGATGGGAATGCCTGTCCGGCGGAGCAGCACCTATATAGGGAGGAGACATGGGAGTATGTGAGACACACAATGTCCATAATGTTTCCTAGGTGAATAATCAAGTCCAGGGCCCATATTCACAAAGTCTCATAGAGTAAGAGTGCTGATCTAGGATCAGGTCCCCCTGTCCAACTACTGTTATTCATCATGATTTAAAAAGACACACTGATCCTAGATCAGCACTAAAACTCTTGACACGCTTTGTGAATACAGGCCAAGGAAAACGTCATCATCATCCATGTCCTCTATAACCTCTCTATTAGAGCTCAGAGCTACTGTACCTGCTGTATCTAGGAGTTGAGAGGGTTGTAGTAGCTCATACCTGCTGTATCTAGGAGTAGAGAGGGTTGTAGTAGCTCATACCTGCTGTATGTAGGAGTAGAGAGGGTTGTAGTAGCTCATACCTGCTGTATCTAGGAGTAGAGAGGGTTGTAGTAGCTCATACCTGCTGTATCTAGGAGTAGAGAGGGTTGTAGTAGCTCATACCTGCTGTATGTAGGAGTTGAGGGTTGTAGTAGCTCATACCTGCTGTATCTAGGAGTAGAGAGGGTTGTAGCAGCTCATACCTGCTGTATGTAGGAGTTGAGGGTTGTAGTAGCTCATACCTGCTGTATCTAGGAGTAGAGAGGGTTGTAGCAGCTCATACCTGCTGTATGTAGGAGTAGAGAGGTTTGTAGCAGCTCCATACCTGCTGTATGTAGGAGTAGAGGAGGGTTGTAGCAAGCTCATAACCTGCTGTATGTAGGAGTTGAGGTTTGTAGCAGCTCATACCTGCTTGTATGTATGGAGTGAGGAGGGTTGTAGTTCAAGCTCATACCTGCTGTATGTAGGAAGTAGAAGAGGGTTGTAGTAGCTCATAACCTGCTTGTATGTAGGAGTAGAGGGTTGTAGTAGCTCATACCTGCTGTATGTAGGAGTAGAGAGGGTTGTAGTAGCTCATACCTGCTGTATGTAGGAGTAGAGAGGGTTGTAGTAGCTCACACCTGCTGTATGTAGGAGTTGAGGGTTGTAGCAGCTCATACCATGCTGTATGTATGAGTTTGAGGGTTGTAGCAGCTCATACCTGCTGTATGTAGGAGTAGAGAGGGTTGTAGTCAGCCCTCATAACCTGCTGTATGTAGGAGTAGAGAGGTGGTAGCAGCTCATACCTGCTGTATGTATGAGTTGAGAGGGTTGTAGCAGCTCATACCTGCTGTATGTAGGAGTTGAGGGTTGTAGCAGCTCATACCTGCTGTATGTAGGAGTAGAGAGGGTTGTAGCAGCTCATACCTGCTGTATGTAGGAGTAGAGAGGGTTGTAGCAGCTCATACCTGCTGTATGTAGGAGTAGAGAGGGTTGTAGCAGCTCATACCTGCTGTATGTAGGAGTAGAGAGGGTTGTAGCAGCTCATACCTGATGTATGTAGGAGTTGAGGGTTGTAGCAGCTCATACCTGCTGTATGTAGGAGTTGAGGGTTGTAGCAGCTCATACCTGCTGTATGTAGGAGTGAGGTAGCAGCCATACCTGTAGTAGGAGTTGAGGGTTGTAGCAGCTCATACCTGCTGTATGTAGGAGTTGAGGGTTGTAGCAGCTCATACGTGCTGTATGTAGGAGTAGAGAGGGTTGTAGCAGCTCATACCTGCTGTATGTAGGAGTAGAGAGGGTTGTAGCAGCTCATACCTGCTGTATGTAGGAGTAGAGAGGGTTGTAGCAGCTCATACCTGTTGTATGTAGGAGTTGAGAGGGTTGTAGTAGTCACACTCGTTGCCCTTGTACTGAAGCTGCTCGTATAAAACAGCGTTGAGGGTAACGACCACCTGTCTCTGGAGATCAAAGTCCTCTACAGCAAAACAGTCACCTAGAATCAGACACAATCAGAAAACAGGATCACATTATAAAGTACATCAGAATTAAACCAGATCTACCTGGTTAGATATTTTTAAAGGGCTAGTTCACTCTAAAATCAAGTTTGGCATTTTCAGAACAAAAAATGGGCATGTGCTCAAAACGACAGACTAATTATTCTGCTTTAAATCCACAAGACTACTTTTCCACATGAACACTACTTTTGAGGTCTGACAATGCCTGCCTTGGTATGAGCTCTTTGTATTCATTCCTAAGAGACACTGAGAGAACATGTGTTTCCATCCAACTCCTCAGTTCAGACCAACCTTGTGTGACCCTCAGGCTTGGATGAGAGGGGTTCTTTATCCGCAGCATCTTCTTGATCTTGTCAGTGATCTCCTCCAGCTGGGAGGATATACCGTCCAACGACACATCCGCCAGGGGGTTACAATACTGGTCCACCAGCACAGCTCCTACAACAGGAGAGGAGGCAATATGAGACTGTAAAAATACATGGTTAAAAGCTGGTTATACACCACATTTTTTCTTATGACGTTATTAACACTTTCTTTTATTTTCAAAACCCCCAATGAATATGGAAAAACAGACATTGTTTTTTCCCCAAGCATGTCATTATTCCCAAGATTCCCAACATTATTCCCAAGATTTCCAACATTATTCACAAGAAGACCATGCTAACCAAGCTGTTTCTCTGAGTTTGTTTCCACTACTCACTAGGATAAGAGTGTATTGTGCTGTGCAGTGCAGTGTATGGCTAGGCCCACTCCACATGTACGGTATTATGTCCATATTATTCAGTGTTACTTTGTTTACACTGCAAGTCATGAGAGTGTATGATAAACCTAAGTGCAGTGCAGTGTATTGCTAGGCCCACTCCACATCCATGACTCACCCTCTAGTGCTGACTGCTGCTCTGCAGGCTGCTCCAGAAACACCTTTAAACTCCTCAGGATGTTCTGCTGGCGCAGGAAATAAAGGATTTTCTTTGCATAGTACTTCAGTGTCAGGCTTTTCCTACGGGAGGCAGGCAGAGTGGGGCGAGAGAGAGGAGAAAGAGTGAGCGAGGGACAGAGAGAAGGAACAAGAAAGCGAGAAAGAGGGAGGGAGAGAGAGAAAGAAAAAGGCGAGAGAGAAAGAGAGAGAGGGCAAGTGAGGTGAAAATGAGAGAGAAAGAAAGCAAGAGAGAGAAGACAGGGAGAAAAACAGAGATTTTCATTGTCCATTGTTACAACGCTCCAGGGAGGATTAACACGTACACTACCATTCAAAAGTTTGGGGTCACTTAGAAATGTCCTTGTTTTCCATGAAAACATACATGAAATGAGTTTGAATAGGAAATATAGCAAAATGAATAGGAAATGTAGTCATTGACAAGGTTAGAAATAATGGTTTTTAATTGAAATAATAATTGTGTCCTTCAAAGTTTGCATCCGTCAAAGAATCCTCAATTTGCAGCAATTACAGCCTTGCAGACCTTTGGCATTCTAGTTGGCAATTTGTGTAGGTAATCTGAAGAGATTTCACCCCATGCTTCCTGAAGCACCTCCCACGTACCATACAGTCAAGCTGCTCCCACAACAGCTTAATAGGGTTGAGATCCGGTGACTGTGCTGGCCACTCCATTATAGACAGAATACCAGCTTACTGCATCTTCCCTAAATAGTTCTTGCATAGTTTGGAGCTGTGCTTTGGGTCATTGTCCTGTTGTAGGAGGAAATTGGCTCCAATCAAGCGCCATTCACAGGGTATGGCATGGCGTTAAAAAATGGAGTGATATCCTTCCTTCTTCAAGATCCCTTTTACCCTGTACAAATCTCCCACTTTACCACCACCAAAGCACCCCCAGACCATCACATTGCCTCCACCATGCTTGACAGATGGCAACAAGCACTCCTCCAGCATCTTTTAATTTGGTCTGCGTCTCGCAAATGTTATTCTTTGTGATCCGAACACCTCAAACTTCGATTTGTCTGCCCATAACACTTTTTTCCAATCTTCCTCTGTCCAGTGTCTGTGTTCTTTTGCCCATCTTAATCTTTTATTTTTATTGGCCAGTCTGAGATATGGCTTTTTCTTTGCAACTCTGCCTAGAAGGTCAGCATCCCGGAGTCACCTCTTCACTGTTGACGTTGAGACTGGTGTTTTGCGGGTACTATTTAATGAAGCTGCCAGTTGAGGACCTGTGAGGCGTCTGTTTCTCAAACTAGACACTAATGTATTTGTCCTCTTGCTCAGTTGGGCACCGGGGCCTCCCACTCCTCTTTCTATTCTGGTTAGAGCCAGTATGCGCTGTTCTGTGAAGGGAGTAGTACACAGCATTGTACGAGATCTTAAGTTTCTTGGCAATTTCTCGCATGGAACAGCCTTCATTTCTCAGAACAAGAATAGACTGACGAGTTTCTGAAGAAAGTTATTTGTTTCTGGACATTTTGAGCCAGTAATCGAACCCACAATGGTTGATGCTCCAGATACTCAACTAGTCTCAAGAAGGCCAGTTTTATTGCTTCTTTAATCAGCACAACTGTTTTCAGCTGTGCTAACATAATTGCAAAAGGGTTTTCTAATGATCAATTAGTCTTTTAAAATGATAAACTTGGATTAATAAACACAACGTGCCATTGGAACACAGGACTGATGGTTGCTGATAATGGGCCTCTGTACACCTACGTAGATATTCCATAAAAAATCTGCCGTTTCCAGCTACAATAGCCATTTACAACATTAACAATGTCTACACTGTATTTCTGATCAATTTGATGTTTTTTTTTCAATGGACAATTTTTTTTTCTTCTTTCGAAAACAAGGAAATGTCTAAGTGACCCCAAACTTTTGAACGGTTGTGTTAAACAGAACTAATGGCCAAAGATAGTTGTTCCCGCTGGACTGGAGTGTGGACATGGTTCTTACCTCCTTTCTGAGTTGAGTATGGAAAGCAGCTCGTCTTCACAGAAGTGCTCTGGGGCGCCGAGGGACTCGATCTCAGCAAAGCTGTCCCCCAGCACCTGGCCAACGCAAGGCTGCGTTGCAGATCTCTGGGTTAGTGCTAAAGAGGCCAGCCAAGCTCACACACACACACTCAAATACGGACACCATTACACGCACATGCACGCAGTGCAGGCAACATGCGCTCAACACACACAGTGCACATTTACACCATCAGGCCAGCCAAGTCACATTGAGCATGATGTGGTGGGGTTAGGATCGCCAATAAATACAGTATCTTTCATGCTAAGTTTTTACAATGTTAGTAACACCTCTTTCCATCTCCACAAAGTACACTGAACAAAAATATAAACACAACATGTAAAGTGTTGGTCCCATGTTTCATGAGCTGAAAGAAGAAATCCCATACATTTCCACAAAAAGCTTATTTCTCTCAAATGTTGTGCACATCAACCTGACAGGTGTGGAATATCAAAAAGCTGAACATTACATAGGTGCAGCTTGTGCTGGGGACAATAAAAGGCCACTTTAAAATGTGCAGCTTTGTCACACAACACAATGCCACAGATGTCTCAAGTTTTGAGGGAGCGTGCAATTGTCATGCAGACTGCAGGAATGTCCACCAGAGCTGTTGCCAGAGAATTGAATGTTCATTTCTCTACCATAAGCTGCCTCCAACGTCATTTTAGAGAATTTGGCAGTACGTCCAACCGGCCTCACAACCGTAACCACGCCAGATCAGGACCTCCACATCCGACTTCTTCACCTGCGAGATTGTCTGAGGAGTATTTCGGTCTGTAATGAAGCCCTTTTGTGGGGAAAAACTAATTCTGATTGGCTGGGCCTGGCTCCCAAGTGGGTGGGCTTATGCCCTCCCAGGCCCACCCATGGCTTCACCCCTACCCAGTCATGTGAAATTCATAGATTAGGGCCTAATTTATTTATTTCAATTGACTGATTTCTTTATATGAACTGAAATTGTTGCATGTTGCGTTTATATTTTTGTTCAGTATAGCTAGGCTAAGTCAGAATGACAATAACCATGGCAGCGTACTACTAAAGACATCACTTACAACTTCCGTGAAGAATCTCTGGGAGATGGATACAACTGTTCGTCGTATTTGTAGACCAACAGTGTGCCGCGTTCTGTATTCTTTCAGCCAATCACAACACTCGTTCAGGCGGTAATGCTTCTGTAATCTTGGCCATCTGGGGAGTGTAGGAAAAGGGACTGTAGTCAGAAAGTTAAGGCAGACAGTTAGCCATATAAAGTATTGACTTGAGGTGTGTGACAGTCTGACAGATATGATCATTCACAATATAACAATCCAAAAGCATCTAATGTCTGCAATCTGCATTAGGCTTAAATTTTGTGCTGAATAATTAACCAACATTTAATTTTTTTGGGTTATTAAACAACTAATTGACCAACGTTGGTTCATTTACTTGAATTTCGTTTAGTTAATTTTTTGTGTGTGAGCCTAACGCACCGTTTCGCTAGAGTAATTAAATAATTCACAAAATAAATCAAATCATGAACCAGGTGGAACGCTGGGCTTAAAGGAGTTGTAGTTTTCATTAAGCAGATATTCAACCTAGTTCAGCGCAGAAACCTGGTATTTAACTACAATGACCATAATCAATTGCGCCAGTTTGGAAGAGGCAAAGCGAAAGGTTTCACTCTCGCAAAAATCTGTCTAAAACAAGCCCTATGCGTTTCTATGGGCTTATTTTGGACCTAAGTTTGTCACCTGCCTTCCCACCTTTGGGACAACGACTCCCTTTGTTAGGGCGGAGACATGAGCATTTCGTCATTATATACAGATCTCTGGAAGGATACACTTTTATACCTGCTACGTTACGTTAGATACACACAGACCACATGAGAGAGGAATGTACACAACGACAAGAGGGCCAGAGATAATTTGTGAAAGTATGCCTTATCTACTTTGAAGAACTAGTAAAATGATTGTCAGACAGTTCTGCAGCATACTTTGGCAGCCTAGCTATACTGACCAAAAATATCAAATGCAACATGTAAAGTGTTGGTCCCATGTTTCATGAGCTGAAATAAAAGATCCCAGAAATGTTCCATAAGCACAAAAAGCTTATTTCTCTCACATTTTGTGCACAAATTTGTTTACATCCCTGTTAGTGTGCATTTTTCCTTTGCCAAGATAATCCATCCACCTGACAGGTGTGGCATATCAAGAAGCTGATTAAACAGCATGATCATTACACAGGTACACATTGTGCTGCGGACAATAAACGGACGCTCTAAAATGTGCAGTTGTTTCACACAACACAATGCCACAGATGTCTCAAGTTGAGGGAGCATGCAATTGGCATGCTGACTGCAGGTATGTCCACAAGAGCTGTTGCCAGAGAACTGAATGTTAACTTCTCTACCATAAGCCCCCTCCAACGTTGTTTTAGAGAATTTGGCAGTGAGTCCAACTGACCTCATAACCGCAGATCACGTGTAACCACGCCAGCCCAGGACCTCCACATCCAGCTTCTTCCTCCGAGGGATAGTCTGAGACCAGCCACCCGGACAGCTGATGAAACTGAGGAGTATTTAAGTATGTAATAAAGCCCTTTTGTGGGGAAAAACTCATTCTGATTGGCTGGGCCTGGCTCCCAAGTGAGTGGGCCTATGCCCTCCCAGGCCCACCCATGGCTGCACCCCTGCCCAGTCATGTGAAATTCATAGATTAGGACCTAATGAATTTATTTCAATTGACTGATTTCCTTATATGAACTGTAACTCAGTAAAATCTTTGAAATTGTTGTATGTTGCGTTTATATTTTTGTTCAGTATAGCTAGGCTAAGTCAGAATGACAATGGGGCGGCAGGTAGCTTAGCGGTTAAGAGCGTTGTGCCAGTAACCGAAAGGTCGCTGGTTCTAATCCCGAGCCAAATAGGTGAAATATCTGTCGATATGCCCTTGAGCAAGGCACTTAACCCTAATTGCTCATGTAAGTCGCTCTGGATAAGAGCGTCTACTAAATGACTAAAATGTAAATGTAAATGTAATAACCATGGCAGTGTACTACTAAAGACATCACCTACAACTACCATGCATGTTGTATTTATATTTTTGTTCAGTATAAATAGGATGACTAAAGACAGTACAGTATGGGGAGGAACATAATGTTAGATGGCCTGGCTGACTGCTAATGCCTGAGCAGAGATGAGATTATTACTTTAAGGAATTAAAAATAATAAAGTAATCAAATAAAACCTAAGTAATATACACAACTTAAATATTGTATTATTTCACAGTAATTTCCTATTTTTCTATTGATGTCTACCCAATGTGGACCTGATCAGAGACAATGGAATATTTTCAATGTTTAGGCTTTGGAATTTCCATTAAAAATGTTCTAAAAACATTGTAAAGTCATTGTTTCATAATGCATTTCATGTTTAAAATAAATAAATCGAAACCCGTGATAATTTTTTTTATAATCGAACCGACTTCAAAAAGCACTAATGGCTCAGCACTACCTAAATTGCTAGCTAATAGTTTGTGGCCTTCAAAGAATACCAATAGTCTCTGAACCACTACTGCATGGGGCTCAGTCAGAGAAAAACAATCAGCAAAGTGCCATGTCAAGCCAACTGATTTTTGCAAGAACTAACGTTACACAAGACCTGCAGTCCAATCACTGTATTTCCCAGCATTCAAGGTCACACAATTTCAATATCTGTTCTCAGATGCACGACAAGGTGAAAGACAATAATTGTGAAATTGTTCATTTTTACTGAGATATTTTAGCTAAGCTGGCTACCATTGCCTTGCGTGATGTCGAATTTGGTGCATCAGCAGGATGTCAACGGCCGTTTGACAGCTGCCTTGCTTGCTCGCTATAACGGATCTGTCCTGACTGTACTGAAATAAATCTCATATTTTAGAGGGGCAACTGCGATTTAGATGCCATTTAGCATTAGATAGTTACATCTCTAGTTAGCAAGATAGCTAGCAAGATAATCATGTCAGTTCACCTGAGTTTGTACTGGTGTCCCCAGACCTTCCCCCTGCCGTGGCAAACGTCGTGTAGCCGCTTGCAGCTACAGGAAACGTTGCAAATGTCGACATGTTTGAGTACAGGAAAGCATAAGATGTACTCAAGTAATTCGGCTGGTAGGTCTGTAAATGTTTTGTGTTCTGTCTCGGAAACGATCCCGTTCAGGCTGGAGCACCCCTCTCCTGCTCCAGAGGTCGCCATCTTTACTGTTTACTCCGATTACCTCAATCTACAAGCCCCGCCCCTTTCTGGCGCAGGGGGCCGAACTTCGAGATCACATATAACCGTCAATAGTGTCTCAAAACTGTCGGGAGGGGCACATTTGGAATATGTGTTTATTTTTTTATTTTATTTTTTTAACAAATAAATTCGTTTTATGGAATCAACTCAATGTTGTTAGTAACAACAAGACACGTGTATGCTGCATACAGTAGTGATTTATCAACATGCCATGGTTGATATGTTAGGAAGCCAACAAATTGAATTGAAATTGTGCACACACACACAAATCCAAGTATATCTGACCAAATTATGAAACACAAGTGTTGTAATTTTGAATTCCATAAAGTAAGAGTGGAAGAGGAGAAACAAGTATTGTTGTCTATCAACGATGACAAGCCACCGGGGTCTGACAACTTGGGTGGAAAATTACTGAGGATAATAGTGGACGATATTGGCACTCCTATTTGCCATATCTTAAATTTAAGCTTACTAGAAAGTGTGTGCGCTCAGGCCTGGTGGGAAGCAAAAGTAATTCCGCTACCTAAGAATAGTAAAGCCCCCTTTACTGGCTCAAATAGCCAACCAATCAGCCTGTTACCAACCCTTAGTAAAGTTTAGGAAAAAATGGTGTTTGATTATTTTACAGTAAACAAATTGACAACAGACTTTCAGCATGTTTATAGGGAAGGACATTCAACAAGCACAGCACTTACACAAATGACTGATGATTGGCTGAGAGAAATTGATGATAAAAAAGATTGTGGGGCTGTTTTGTTAGACTTTAGTGCTGCTTTTGACATTATCGATCATAGTCTGCTGCTGGAAAAACTTGTGTTATGGCTTTACACCCCCTGCTATATTGTGGATAAAGAGTTACCTGTCTAACAGAAAACAGAGGGTGTTATTTAATGGAAGCCTCTCCAACATAATCCAGGTAGAATCAGGAGTTCCCCAGGGCAGCTGTCTAGGGCCCTTACTTTTTTCAATCTTTACTAACGACATGCCACTGGCTTTGAGTAAAGCCTGTGTGTCTATGTATGCGGACGACTCAACACTATACACGTCAGCTACTACAGCGACTGAAATGACTGCAACACTTAACAAAGAGCTGCAGTTAGTTTCAGAATGGGTGGCAAGGAATAAGTTAGTCCTAAATATTTCAAAAACTAAAAGCATTGTATTTGGGACAAATCATTCACTAACCCCTAAACCTCAACTAAATCTTGTAATGAATAATGTGTGGAAGCTGAGCAAGTCGAGGTGACTAAACTGCTTGGAGTAACCCTTGATTGTAAACTCTCATGGTCTAAACATATTGATACAACAGTAGCTAAGATGGGGAGAAGTCTGTCCATAATAAAGCGCTGCTCTGCCTTCTTAACAGCACTATCAACAAGGCAGGTCATACAGGCCCTAGTTTTGTCGCACCTGGACTACTGTTCAGTCATGTGGTTGGGTGCCACAAAGAGGGACTTACGAAAATTGCAATTGGCTCAGAACAGGGCAGCACGGCTGGCTCTTGGATGTGCACAGAGAGCTAACATTAATAATATGCATCAATCTCTCCTGGCTCAAAGTGGGGGATCCATAATAAATACAAATACAAATACAAATACAAATACACACACACACACTGTCAATTTGCTGGCCGACACCTTAGACCTTTTTTGTCTGTACAGTATACTGTACGTAGTCACAGTATTTCACAGTTGTCTTCTTCCATTTTATTATTTCTTTTTTTAGAGTCAGCTAAACATCCAGCAGATGGTCAATTAAATAAATCAGCTTCTTTAAGGGAAACTGCTGCTTTGATGGGCAATGTATCCATGACTACTTATCAAGTCATCTGGAAAAAGGACACAGTTGTGATTTTTGCTCTTATAAAACTATGAGCAACTTCACCTCAGACAGGATGAATATTGATCCTGTTACACCTACAGAGTTGAGGATCTCTGATGTAAAGCTGACTGACACTGGGCTCTACAGTTGTGGAGTAACAGGTGAATGGGGTGTAAGGACAATGACGTGGAATTTGACCATCACAGGTAACCCTATCCTCTGATCAACCCTTATCCATTCCTGACTGAATACTTATTGCCCAATACTGTAACATTATGTTCAATCATGTTTTATCTCTTATTTTACCAGATAAATCACATTGGAAATAAACTAATTATAGAAAATATTGGTAACAATTTTGTCTAGGACAATAGTTAATGTACATGTTATATGTACATCTTAATGTCATGTCAGGTGAATGTGGCCTTCTGGAGAGGCAGGTGTTGATGCTGGTCCTCAGAGTAGGGCTGTACTTTACTGGGCTTATCATCACCTACCACATCACCAGGTGTACAGTGGGGAAAAAAGTATTTAGTCAGCCACCAATTGTGCAAGTTCTCCCACTTAAAAAGATGAGAGAGGCCTGTAATTTTCATCATAGGTACACGTCAACTATGACAGACGAAATGAGATTTTTTTTTCCAGAAAATCACATTGTAGGATTTTTAATGAATTTATTTGCAAATTATGGTGGAAAATAAGTATTTGGTCAATAACAAAAGTTTCTCAATACTTTGTTATATAGCCTTTGTTGGCAATGACACAGGTCAAACGTTTTATGTAAGTCTTCACAAGGTTTTCACACACTGTTGCTGGTATTTTGGCCCATTCCTCCATGCAGATCTCCTCTAGAGCAGTGATGTTTTGGGGCTGTCGCTGGGCAACACGGACTTTCAACTCCCTCCAAAGATTTTCTATGGGGTTGAGATCTGGAGACTGGCTAGGCCTCTCCAGGACCTTGAAATGCTTCTTACAAAGCCACTCCTTCGTTGCCCGGGCGGTGTGTTTGGGATCATTGTCATGCTGAAAGACCCAGCCACGTTTCATCTTCAATGCCCTTGCTGATGGAAGGAGGTTTTCACTCAAAATCTCACGATACATGGCCCCATTCATTCTTTCCTTTACACGGATCAGTCGTCCTGGTCCCTTTGCAGAAAAAACAGCCCCAAAGCATGATGTTTCCACCCCCATGCTTCACAGTAGGTATGGTGTTCTTTGGATGCAACTCAGCATTCTTTGTCCTCCAAACACGACGAGTTGAGTTTTTACCAAAAAGTTATATTTTGGTTTCATCTGACCATATGACATTCTCCCAATCCTCTTCTGGATCATCCAAATGCACTCTAGCAATCTTCAGACGGGCCTGGACATGTACTGGCTTAAGCAGGGGGACACGTCTTGCACTGCAGGATTTGAGTCCCTGGCGGCGTAGTGTGTTACTGATGGTAGGCTTTGTTACTTTGGTCCCAGCTCTCTGCAGGTCATTCACTAGGTCCCCCCGTGTGGTTCTGGGATTTTTGCTCACCGTTCTTGTGATCATTTTGACCCCACGGGGTGAGATCTTGCGTGGAGCCCCAGATCGAGGGAGATTATCAGTGGTCTTGTATGTCTTCCATTTCCTAATAATTGCTCCCACAGTTGATTTCTTCAAACCAAGCTGCTTACCTATTGCAGATTCAGTCTTCCCAGCCTGGTGCAGGTCTACAATTTTGTTTCTGGTGTCCTTTGACAGCTCTTTGGTCTTGGCCATAGTGGAGTTTGGAGTGTGACTGTTTGAGGTTGTGGACAGGTGTCTTTTATACTAATAACAAGTTCAAACAGGTACCATTAATACAGGTAACGAGTGGAGGACAGAGGAGCCTCTTAAAGAAGAAGTTACAGGTCTGTGAGAGCCAGAAATCTTGCTTGTTTGTAGGTGACCAAATACTTATTTTCCACCATAATTTGCAAATAAATTCATTAAAAATCCTACAATGTGATTATCTGGATTTTTTTTCTCAATTTGTCTGTCATAGTTGACGTGTACCTATGATGAAAATTACAGGCCTCTCTCATCTTTTTAAGTGGGAGAACTTGCACAATTGGTGGCTGACTAAATACTTTTTTTCCACACTGTATATGTCAGGTAACATAGCGCTCCTCTCCTGATACCTAAATAATACCTCAACAATAACATGTCGCACAACTGATATACCACCCCAAACCCTAAATTGTCTACACATTTGTGATCATCACTTATATCTACATCACCCTTCAATGCCTCAAACTAGTATAACAGTCCACATCACCAACGAACTATCATGGTCCAAACACACCAAGACAGTCGTGAAGAGGGCACGACAAAGCCTGTCATGTACCCACAGCTTGCTTTTGCTTCTATTAATTAATTTATTCAGCATAATCAATGCCTTAACATACAGTATGTTGCAGATATAATTAAAACGTAGATTGATGTGAATGTAAATGTCAGGTTGATCTTCACTTCCTGTGATATAGATAAGGGCCCACCGTGTACTGCACAATCAACTTGGTGCTATTGTCAATAACTTTGCTTACACTTAACGTACTAACAATTCAAACGTTTTGCTTAGCTACTGACCAAAACTATGACTCTCTCTTTTTGCCAATATCACTTAGGGCCTACTGTAGGCTAGTCGAAACACCAGTATGCATGATCAATGTCAAAGCTAAAGCCTTCAAGTCTCAGGTAAGGTTCGTCACACAAGCATAGTTCACAATCACATCACCTCAAGCTATATGTAGCAAAGTGGTAGTGACATGAGTAGACAGCAACGACAGTCCTATGTACAGATCACTGTATAAGATATAGCTTCTTCAAGCTGTATCTCATAGCTCACAATAGCCTAGGCCTACATGTATGAGTTGCCTTTGGATGTTTGCAGCAGTCACCAACCACCACATGGGGTGATAACCAGTGGTTATTTAAAGTGTAGTCTCGGACATGGAAAAGTATGCTACAACTTCCTCTTACGCTGTACGTAATGTCCGAGGGAGGGGTGTGGTGGGGTAGAAAGTACAAAGTGACCTGCTGGACCTCACTCTTATCTGCTCTGATCACGAAGAGTCTAACGCGCTGAACACCTGGACATACACACATACATGCTGTGGCTACAGCATTTCACAGTTGTCTTCTTCCAATGTTTCTTA